GCCCAATAGCCAGGATTACAAGATTGCTCAACCACAAAACTAGGGGTTTTCTTTATGAACTTATTCTAGGTAAGTCTTTCTTACTTGCCTTCGTGACAATGACAAACAAAGGGTGATATTTTTGAATATATTGAGGCATCACTAAAATAAGGCCACCCTCATTTATTATTGGCTCCCTGGCCTGTGGCAGATAATGATCTTCAGGGGTGCTGTGTTTGAACCGCTAGGGGACTTTTTTTTTTGTGAATTATACTTTTCTGTTTTAAGGATGGAGTTTACTCGTCTTGTGATTTAAATAACACAAGGTCTATTATATGCATCCAATTGTACAGCTGAAAAGTCGCAATATGACCACACAAAGTTACAGAGTAACATAAAAACCCAGCCAAGAATATAAATCAAGATGATAAGACAACTTATTAAATCAGAATGGGAAGCATGTTGCCATGTAAGTCATCTACCATCAACATTTTTGTATAAGAACAACAAATCTGCTTATTTTATCCAAATCCATACATAGAGTCAATAGACATTCACTTCCAACCATTCCAAATAATAATTCATTTTAGAATACTGTAGTTGTATAGTATAGCAATGTTTTACAGTATGTGTATCACTCTCTGTTAATGTAATGATAAGCTTAGAAACTATAGACATCATACCTACATTATAAGAAGACCTTTTGGCCTACAAATCTACTCTAGTTATATTATCTTTACCTTCCGTTCTGAAGATTACCAAAATAAACATGTTACTGTTGATACAAGCTCAAATCTTTAATAATGTCTGCTACCTCTGATCAATATACATTGATATACACATGTTATATTGTTTCACAATTCTCTGTTTATTTCCCCATAAACACCAGCGTTGGAATTTTTGAAACTATTATTGTATTAGCCCCTGACATTAGCCTGCTGGAGGTAACTGAATTATCCCGTGTTACCAGTGCCGACCAAGATCAGCTGGCACTTTCTTGGCTGCTGTCTGGTCATGGTCTGCACTGTTTGCTATTTAATCAGTACAGTACTTATTCTAAAAAAATCCCTAAAAAAATGATGAATGGTTTAGTCCATAGTGAAGGATGGACAAGTCCATTTAAGATACATTTGTATTTATAGGGATAAGGGTTAAATTCTTAGTAAGTTGTTTCATTTTTGGCTGATATTCCCAGTAAAATGTAAAGTAAAAGAGCAACATCGAAAAACATGGTAATGCTAGACAGTTGCCTAACTGTATTCTATCAAAGTTTTGTGCTGTCTGTTGACAGATTCTTATTATACTTGTATAGAAGTATGATTTGCAGCCAGTAACTGCTAGGAAACCCTGATAGAGAACAGTGTGGACTGTGACCAGAAGGTATAGATGTGTTATGTAGAGTCCATTGATGCTGGCAGGCTTAGGTTTAAAATATGTTAATCTGTTAATGTCTTATGTCGGACAGACTAGGCAGTGTCTAATAGAGATGCTTGTGTGCACTGAAAACATTTTATATAATATCCTGTATCTTGAGTGAATTTACCAGGTATAAGAGTATTGTAAGAGCACAGTGGAAGTGAATTTATCAGTTTATGTCTGCAATAATGTGATGATAGATTGTTTATTGTTTGAACAGACTGCAGATTCCTGCAAAAACACACAAGTCAGAAATTTATAATGCTAGCAGTTTTTATGCCATTATACCTAGAGCTAAAATATTTCTTGTAAATGTTGTACCTGCCTCAGTTATACTAGAATTGGTTGGGAGAAAGGTTATTCTTGCAAGTTCAAATCTTATGTGTTAGAGTAGCCATTACAAGACTACAACAACCATGTCAAACATCCAATACCTTCATTATGGTCTAGAACTGTTCACTTATTAGAGGAGAGAATGTGTAAGTGATAGCTCAACCTGTAGAGCTTTGGTATGGTATTCTGAGGGTTTTGGGTCCAAGTTTCGGTCAGGCTGCACATGCTTCTCACATTGGATATCTTGACTAGTTTGTTTAATTTTAGTTTGAGATCTGGATATGTTGATAGAAAATGTCAGACAAGTTTATAAGCAAATTACCTAGAGCTGAAAATTTTGTTTGAGTGTATATTTACTACATATACAAATTGCTCAAATAGTCAAAACTTAATAGTCTCCGTCCGTCCGACCTTCCGTCCTTCCGTCCGTCCTTCCGTCCGACATTTTTGTCCGGAGCATATCTCTAAAAGTATTTGAGTTATCAACTTGAAACTTCATAGGTGGATAGACCTCATTGAGGAGGAGTGCAGTGCACAAGAATAATAACTCTACCTTGCATGATTTTTGAGTTATTGCCCTTTGTTATTTTTCAAAATTGATTTTTGTCCAGAGCATAACTCCTATGAGATATTAACATGAAACTTCATAGGTGCATAGATCTCACTCAGGAGGTGTGCAGTGCACAAGAATGATAACTCTAACTTTCATAATTTTTGAGTTATTGCCCTTTGTTATTTTTCATACCTAATTTTTCACCTGAGTGGAGCATAACTCAAAAAGTGTTTGAGATATCAACATGAAATGTCATAGGTGGATAGATCTTATTGAGGAGAAATGTTGTGCGCAAGAATGATAACTCTTTCCTATACAATTTTTGAGTTATTGCCCTTTGTTTTTTATGCTATTTTGTCCAGAGCTTATCTCAAAAAGTATATGAGGTATCAACTTGAAACTTCAAAGGTGGATGGATCTCATTGAGGAGGAGTGCAGTGCTTAAGAATGACAACTCTACCCTGCATTATTTTTGAGTTATTGCCCTTTGTTATTTTTCAAAATTAATTTTTGTCCAGAGCATAACTCAAAAAGCCTTTGAGATATCAAAATGAAACTTCATAGGTGCATAGATCTCACTCAGGAGGTGTGCACTGCACAAGAATGATAACTCTACCTTTTATAATTTTTGAGTTATTGCCCTTTGTTATTTTTCATACTTAATTTTTCAATTCAATTTTTTTCTCAAAAAGTATTTGAGGTATCAACTTGAAACTTCATAGGTGGATAGATTTTACTGAGGAGGAATGCAGCACACAAGAATGATAACCTACTCTGCATTATTTTTCAGTAATTGCCCTTTGTTATTTTCAGCCATCAGTATTCACATAGGTTTCAAATCTGTAATCACTATAGCCATCAGTTTTCATTACCAAAAGACCTCTTAAAATGGAGTTATTCTGCTCTACTACATATACATTCTTCCAATGAGCAAACACATTCGGCGGGGGATGGCCATGTTGACATGGCTCTTGTTTGTATAATTTCAATTTTGTAAAACCATAATGTGATCCAGGCCTTTGGTACCATTTGGTTAGCTCAATAGGTAGATCAGAAGAGCCGAGTTGGATTCCTGGACAATGCAGGTTGCTTTCAGTCTCTGCTCTGGCATGTACAAAGTTATCAGTTCCTTGTGAAAGTGAAGGCAACTTGTACTGGTAAACTGCTAGATAGCCTGCCCAGGAAAGATACAATGGCTAAACTGTTCTATGGCAAATACAATATGGCTTACTGCTATGATTCAAAGTGAAAACAACGAACAACATCATGATCCAGGCCTTCTCATTTTTTGTATTGAATCATTTTCTGTGAAATTGCATCCAACTAAATGATTGTAGACAAAAATGTTTGGGGTTTTTTGGTCATAAATTATAAGAGAATATGATTAATGTGATAGATTCTATTTAATACCTTGTATACCCACTACTATAATGTTCTTATTTATCTTTACATTATGCAGGATTTTGTTCATTAATTGAAATTGAAATTAAACTCCTGCCAACTTTGTGTATAACTTCAATTATTGGTTTGTTTTACCCTGAAGTCTTATCCTAAAGGAAAGTGAAATTAAAAACAGATTTTATCTAAATAAAAACCTATAACTTGTTAGGAAAGTTTTATATAAATGATAAATTTCTGTCATGTACAATGTATACATTGTTCTGTGTGTCATGTTTTATGACTTTACAATGATATATTTACACTGATTTTTTCAAGTATCATTAATAACTCAATAGCTAATCCAACTTGCTTATATTGTTATTATAGAGATTATTTCAGGTTGTATACCCATGAAGTACAAAATAGTAGAAGACCTTTAAACATGTATATGTGTAGTTTAAATATAAAAGTAAACTCCTTATTCTGTGACGGTTTGTGATCCATATCACCAGTTAAAATGTTACTGAAATTGGTTGTATTTTCAGCTACTTTATTAAAATATCACCCTTGACCCTTGGCCAAATCGCTTGTTTTTTTGCACATCTGTTGCTTAAAATGAAAATGAAAACCCTTAATTTATTAAATCATACATAAAAGTTATAGGAAAGGAATTTTATAACCCTGGCAACTGTTAACCCGTAACCTGCTGAAACTGAAAATGATTAACCAGCAGTATATTGTCAGGCTTACTATACGTAATGGTACATTACACAATACAATATAGATATATATTTATATATTTCAGGTGATATAGTATTTGATGGCAGTACAATATAGATAATTATTTATTAATTTCAGGTGATATAGTATTTGATGGCAGTACAATATAGATAATTATTTATATATTTCAGGTGATATAGTATTTGATGGCAGTACAATATAGATATATATTACAGGTGATATAGTATTTGATGGCAGTACAATATAGATATATATTTATATATTTCAGGTGATATAGTATTTGATGGCAGTACAATATAGATAATTATTTATTAATTTCAGGTGATATAGTATTTGATGGCAGTACAATATAGATAATTATTTATATATTTCAGGTGATATAGTATTTGATGGCAGTACAATATAGATATATATTTCAGGTGATATAGTATTTGATGGCAGTACAATATAGATAATTATTTATAAATTTCAGGTGATATAGTATTTGATGGCAGTACAATATAGATATATATTTATATATTTCAGGTGATATAGTATTTGATGGCAGTACAATATAGATATATATTTCAGGTGATATAGTATTTGATGGCAGTACAATATAGATATATATTTATATATTTCAGGTGATATAGTATTTGATGGCAGACAGGATATTAAGGAGAAATATTACTATTCTATGTATGATATGACAGTGAGAGGAAGTTGTTCTTGTTACGGTCACGCCTCGAGGTGTATCCCAGTTGATGGTTACGCTAATAACCCAAGTATGGTATGTATTATAGATATTGTAGAAAACAGAGAAATGTTGTATACACTTGTAGCAAAAAAAACAACAACCAAGAACAGACAAACAAACAAACACAGCTGTAGTACAGAGTACGAATTTCTAAGCTGTTGGTAATTTTTTTTTGAAATATTTCATTTTTATCACATAATAAGCGATAGTCTAATAGTTTTCCAAGTGATAGTCTATAGTATTGAAATTTTGGGTGGCATTTTAGAAATTAAGATTGTTATAATGAACCAGATGGCCTATTTTAATCCAGCAACTGGCATGTGCTACAACAAGTGTATGGAAAGCGTGTGTGTTTATTATCTGTAGATGTAATTTATTGACCCATGTCACAGAAACTAGATATATTTCATATCGTACACCTCTAGTCAGTAATATAAAACTATATTTTGAAATTTAATATTATTATTTAGCTGTCGTGAATATTTTGGTAATGGAATGATTAATGGAGATTGTTCGTCACTGGCTGTATTGAATACCTGTCACAATGCTCAGCTCAAATTTAAATTTTTTTATTTTTTTTTAAATCTTGTTGGGTATATACTATATAATTTCATGGTATGAGGAGATTCAGTTTTAGTGGTAAATCTGTAAAATGTGTGATAATTAGTGGCTAGGTGCTTGATATCGTTATTCCTGTTTCCTAATACTAGTTGCATAATAGATTCATTCATTACTGATGATATAAGTGAAGTATTTTTATGCTCTTAATAAGTTTGATAAAGCTGAACTATTTATTGAAGTATAGTTGTGACTTGAAACCAGCAGTTTATACCACTAGCATAGGATGGAGCATGCTTACACCCCAGTTAGGGCTTTGGTCAGGGGGTCAGGCTTTATACTGTTGATTCCAGGTGTATAATTTTTGTACCATTTTATGTTTGTAGGTAAATGGTCAGTGTGAGTGTACCCACAACACGAAAGGTTTGAACTGTGAACAATGTTTAGATTTCTACAACGATGCTCCTTGGAGACCTGCCAGAACATCTGAACCTAATGCATGTAAAAGTAAGGACTATTGTAATCTATAGATTAAACACCACTAAATGTTTTTTTGCTTGGAAAAAATGATACACAATTTTTGAAAGCTAACTTTGTGATAAAACTCAAAATTTCATCACTTGACATTTATTTTGTACATTTTATTTGAATGCAAGATTTTTACTAATGGTGCAGGGATTTCTTTTGGCTTATTTTATAGCCGTTATTGGGTCATATTCCCAATTGAAAATAGTATATTATTTTCCCAATCCACAGGAAAAAATTCCCAATTGAAAGTTACAAAATAAAAATATTGAATAAAAGTTCTAAAATCTTTGCAAATAAGGGCTTCCTCACTGTAATAGTGCTTAAATCTTGGAAGATGCCATCAAAGACAGTAATTGTTTGCATCCAGTTAACCACTGCAAAATTTCAGTCATGCATTTTTTTCCCAATTTTTAACAAAACAACGCTGAAATTCCCAATTCCATGGGTATGGGTCGTGTTCCCAAAATCCTTGAAAAAATCCCTGTGGTGTTGCTACAGTGTTTAAAGGTTTTGTGTACAACAATGTTAAATATTTTTATCACAACAATGTTTGAAGGTTTTTGTATATTAAAACAATGTTTAAAAGTTATCTGTTAAACAATGATTAAAGGTTTTGTTAACAACATTTTTGAAAGGTTTTGTGTACATCAGTGTTCATAGGTTTTGTGCACATCAAAGTTTAAATCTTTTTTTTTTTTTTTTTTAACAATGTTTAATGGTTTTGTGTACAACAATGTTTAAAGGAGTTTTATACAATATATTATAACAGCAACTGTTATGTTACAGGATGTGAATGTTATAACCATGCTACATCATGTCATTTTGACGCCGGTGTATGGGAGTTGACTGGTCGGGACAGCAATGGTACAGAATGGAGCGGTGGTGTTTGTGATGACTGTCAGCATAATACTATGGGACGTCAGTGCCAGGAATGTCGCCCATTTTTCTATCAGGATCCAAACAGAGACCCCAGAGATCCTGAAATATGTCAAGGTAAGTTCAAGATGATGTATTTACATTAAAGTTTGTTAAGCCATTTATCACATTAGTCAAAAGTTTGGTAGCCTTTATTGTCAAAATATGAAACCCTAGAAAAAAAGGAACCAATGAACGAGCATCTGAAAATGACATTTCTATCGCTTTCCCTTTCTCTTCGGTCACAATAAGTAAACCCCAGCAAATATTAGCTAATCAATAGGCATGCTCTGGAATGCGGGTACTAATACCTGCACTATAGTTAATGCACTGTGCATGTATATGTATACGATTTAACTCTTGACACATTTTTAACAGAAAGGTCCCCAAACTATGATACAATTAATAGTTATCTCATATGGAACAAATATTTGCTATTGATCCTAATTCTGATTAATAAAGTTTTATACTTACTTTAAATACAAATCTGATTTTATTTACAGATATTTAGTGGTTTATAGCCTTTTTCACTCGAAAGCAATTCTGTTTGCTGGTATTGTTAGGTGAGTAGAACTGAATCCATTTCATACAAAATGTTTTTTATTCGTTTATAGTTTTAAAGAGTTAATATTTTGACTGTGTTTCAGCGTGTGACTGTGACCCGACTGGTTCCATGTATGATGGTGAATGTGAGAATCGTAATGATGAAGATCTTGGTTTGGAAGCTGGCAGGTGTATATGTAAAACATACGTAGATGGTCGTCGTTGTGATCAGTGTATGGAGGGATATTGGAACATGCAGGATGATAACCCTGATGGATGTGAAGGTACACTGAAATTATAAATTCTTTAAGATATATGAAATTAAAACTTGAATACTGACCAGCATGCCAAAATTGAAAAAAAGTTGCAGGCTTGGTTTGATTCACCCTGTTCTTGGACATAAGTGGTAAATGCAAGCTTCTGTCCAAACCCCTTAGCACTGGCTTAAGCTGATCTCAATACTCAAACAAACATGATAAGCTGTTTAATTTTATCAAGAATTTCAAAACATCCACAGCACAAAAACAAAGTTTTGAAGTTACTATATTTTATTCATACTCATTCAGATTGATTTATTTTATGCTTTCAGCATGTACATGTAACCCAATGGGAACACTGGAGAACTTTGGCTGTGACCAGTACTCTGGATACTGTACATGTAAACGTTATGTTACTGGCAAGAATTGTGATGAATGTTATGTAAGTGAGCAATAATATCATATACCTGCTGTGTTAAATTGATGCATTAAAGTTTTAAACTATTTCATCAAAATTGTTTTATAACTATTGTGATTTCAATTCAGGGATTTTGCCTACGGTTAAATATACTCCATACAAATTTAAAAAATGTAATTATTGTATAAGAACATGTTATCATTTATAATGATTAGTATCTATACTGGCACTAGTCAAGAAATTGTATCATAATGTATATATTGTTGTAATGGGCCGGCGGCCAATATCAATTTATAAACGCATTAAAGTAAATTGAGTTTTGAAATTTTATTACAGAAAAAATATTTTAGCTTTTATAGATATATTTGTACATTTATAGCCAAACCAGCAAAATTTGTTTAAGAAAGATGATAATTTACCTGTTTTAAATTTGATTACAAATTTTGATAGCATATAAGTTATAAATTTAGGTACTTAATAAGCTGTAACATACACCATTGCTTTTTAAGGTGATAACTTGCTAAATAAAGCTATCTTATGTAAAAACAACTGACTAGGTTGAGTGTATGTTTGTGGTTTAATGTTAAAGAATTTATGAATAGCATGTTTGTAAGCCTTATCAATAAAGCTCAGGTTTATAATTCAGTACATTATGATAATAATAATCATGATTCTGAAGGTTATATACATATTTAATATTATTTATGATGATTATCAATTACAATGATACATGTAGTTTTATAAAGATACCACAACATGATACGGGGCTTTCGTGGCCGAGTGGTTAAGGTCGTTGACTTCAAACCACTTGCCAGTCACCACTGTGGGTTCGAATCCAGACAGGGACTTGTTCTTTCATGAGGAGCTATCCTAGTTAGGGAATTTGGTGTTCTACTGAGGCCCGTGGTGCTGAAATAAGTGATCTTCTCACAGTAAAGCGGAACGTCACATATGACCTATATATGTTGGGTAGCAAACCTATTAAACAATTAAACAAACAACATGATACTGATATACTTACCAAGTGTATTATATTTTGACATTTTGTATTAAACATATCACTTTATTTACAGCCAGGTTACTGGGGTATGAGCAATGATTTGAATGGTTGTAGACCATGTGACTGTGATGTGGGCGGAGCTATGGGAGACAGCTGTAATGTAACCAATGGGCAATGTTCATGTAAACCAAACATCCAGGGCCGTCAGTGTCACCAAGTACAACCAGGATATTACTTTACTAGAATGGATCTATACACTTATGAAGCTGAATTTGCTAAAGGCTATGGGGTGTGTAAAAATTCCCTTCATTTTAGGCAAAAATCATTTCTGTTTTGGTATAATAAAGCAGGTACAGGACTTAAGATTCTTGTAATCCAAACTCCAGAGCATTTAAATGACACACCATGCTAGATTATAAAAACTTTGACTACCTTGGTGTGAAATAACAAACATTTCCAGTCCTTGTTTTAAAAAGAAAATTTCTGATAGTGTTTATGATTAATGGTTGTTTATAATTGGTTAGGGAAATGATCTTTTATTTGTTAACAAAATAATTTCTTGGTCTTAATTTGAAATAGAATACTGGTCTGTTTATGCCATGTTTATAAAGCCCCCGGAAACTTATTAAATTGTTTGATTGAAAGAAATAACAATATATTGAAATATTTATATAGAACACTAGAGTTTATATTCGTGAACCTGTACCTGAATACACTAGTTGGACTGGACCTGGCTATATGAAGATTATGGAAGGTGATGCCCTCGAGTTTTCTGGTATTGTTGTTGATTTCCCCATGAACTACGATATTGTCATCAGATATGATCCAAGAGTAAGTGATAAAAGCTTTTTTTAAACATTTTTGTATTAAAAAAATAACAACAAAAACAACAGCAAAACAGATTTTAATAGTGAAGGAAAGGTGTGTGCACTTAGTTTTTAAGTTTTTGAGTAATGAAATTCAATTTATTTTGCTTTAAAGGTGAAAGTAATTAAAGTAAATCTGACAAAATCAACAAATTTGATGCCCATGAGATTAATGGGTAAAAGATTAACTTGATTAGACAGTACATCAAATGTAATATGTAACTTATTTTAAAAGAAAAAATTCATTTCTTGGTAAGCGTTTGACATAAGATATTAATTTGTACATGTAAACAAGAACACAAGTGAAACTATATTTATATGATTGTTATGCTATCTAAGAATGTGATATAAAGGTAAGATTGTTACTTAATTTGTGCATGTTTTATCAGGGAAGATGGTTCATTCATATATATGACTTGAAAACTAAAATACTTTACTTGGTGAAATACTTTACTCTTTAAAGTGTCAGCAGTAATTATGACAGGGCTATATAACAAGTTTAAGTTTCAGGTTTATTGGTATCTCGTCATACAAAATACCTTTGACCATTTACAAATATAAAGAAGGATGGCCAAAATATCCCAAATACATACAAAGAATACATTTTAGCTGAAATAAAGAATGACAATATAGAAAAACAACTATATTGATTGACAGTTAAAATATAAATAAGTAAATATAACATACTGAACTACATTGATTAAATTTGAAAGAAAACAAGTATTTAAGAACAAATACAAAAGAAGAATAGTAAGTATTTAAGAAGTAATTAAGAGTTAAGAAGCAAAACATTTGTGACAAGTATGTTGTTACCCATAATCTATACTGATTTCCTGTACAATGTTTGTATTTTAATTTTGAAGTTCCTTAAACTAAATGATCAATCTTACAATTAAAGCTGGTCAAATCTATTGTACAGAAATGTGAGGGACTGACTGTAGGATTCATGATTGAAAGTATATTTTAAGATGAAGCTTAGATATTTACTTGTACATTAAAATATCAGAATTTGTAGTTGGTTGCTTTGAAAAGCTTCTAATTACCTCCCCTTAACAAAATAGAAAAAAAAGAAGAAAAAATAGAATTATTATTTTTTCAGAGTGATTAAAACAAGATTTATAATATTTCCCATTTATAATTGATAATGTGACTGTGTTATATGTTGCTTGTCTGATAATTTTGGGTATGTGAGGGTTAGTGAATGTTAACTTCTATGTTATACTTCTTTACTTTTTGTTTGTATTCTTATTTGTTGTATTTTAATTTTGTTTGTATTTAAATTGAGCTTTATATGTTGTCCGATGTTTATTGTAATATAAGTCTGTAGACTTGAAATTACAAGATTTCTTTATTATTTTAGATAAAGATAAATAGAGAATGTTCTGATGAGAATAATGTCAGTCATGAAAATGAAATAATGAATGGCTTGTAAGAGTAAATATACTAAAGTAGTGTAATAATATAGCAAATGTAATAATACAGTAATATAATAAACAAGTAATATGATAAACTAAATGAAAGAACCATGGTTATATCATGTAATGTTGTTTGTTGTTATAGATGCCGGAAAGATGGGAGGATATAAGGGTCACTGTTATACGTGATGGACCGACTGACCCCGATGGCCCGTGTGCAAATGCTATACCTCAAGATGATAGTAAAGCCACCTCATTACAGACTGGTAATTATCCTGATTCTTGTGTATTTAAACAATATGTGTAAAATATACAATCAAATGTTTTTATGCCCCCGCCATGTAATGGCCGGGGCATATAGTGTTACCCTGTTCCGTCATTCCGTCCTTCCGTCCTTCCGTCCTTCCGTCCTTCCATCCTTCCGTCCTTCCGTCCTTCCGTCATTCTGTCATTCCGTCATCATCAGTTTCCGTTCATTATCTTAAGAACGGTTGGGCACATTCAACTCAAATTTGACACATGGATATGTCATGAGAAAATACAGGTCAAGTTCGAATTTGGTCATGGTTCGATGATTTTTGGCAGAGTTATGCCCCTTTTACTTTGAAAATAATATGAAATTTCAGTTTCCGTTCATTATCTCAAGAACGGTTTGGACACATTCAACTCAAACTTGACATATGGATATGTTATGAGAAAATACAGGTCAAGTTCGAATTTGGGTTATGGTTCGATGATTTTTGGCAGAGTTATGCCCCTTTTACTTTGAAAATAATATGAAATTTTCAGTTTCCGTTCATTATCTCCCCAACGGTACAACACAATCAACTCAAACTTGACATATTGATGCGTCAAAGGAATGCGCAGGTCAAGTTCAAATTTGGTCGTGGTTCGATGATTTTTGGTAGAGTTATGCCCCTTTTACTTTGACAATAATATGAAATTTTCAGTTTCCGTTCATTATCTCCCTCAAGGTACAACACATTCAACTCAAACGTGACATATGGATGCGTCAATGGAATGCGCAGGTCAAGTTTCAAATTTGGTCATGGTTCAATGATTTTTGCAGAGTTATGCCCCTTTCACTTTGAAAGTAATATGAAATTTTCAGTTTTCCGTTTATTATCTCCCAATGGTACAACACATTCAACTCAAATTTGACATATGGATATGTTTCTGGAATGCCCAGGCCAAGTTCGAATTTGGTCATGGTTCAATGATTTTTGGCAGAGTAATGCCCCTTTCACTTTGAAAATTAATATGAAAATATACAGTTTCTGTTCATTATCTACCTAACAGTGTTACATTTTAAATTTTAATTTGACATATGGATATGTCAAAGGAATGGGCAGGTCAAGTTGGAATTTGGTCAGGGTTTGATGTTTTTTTGGCAGAGTTATGTTCCTTTCACTTTGAAAATAATATAGATACATCTTAGGAATAAGCAGTTTAAGTTTGAATTTGGTCGTGGTTCAATGATTTTAGACAAACTTATCTTTCCTGAATGTTGGAAAAATTTTGAACTTTCAGTTTCAGCACTCATTCTTTTAGCCATTATTTTGGCTGCAAATATGCAATATGCTTTTTCTAAAGGTTAAGACTGAATAATTTCAGTGCCTTGAACGTTGTATGGAAATGGTTTGTGTTAACATTGAAAAGTTTTAAGGGCTTTGAACTTAAAATGAAAAAAAAAAATTAATGCACCATCTGAAATTTTGGCTGCATGCGGGGGCATCCGTGGCATGATGACACATTTCTAGTTATTTCTTGTTTATTAAAGGGAAGTAAGAAAACTGTTCTGACAAAAAGTAGCTGTTTATTGTTTTCAGTCGAAGAAAAACAAAACAAAAAACTGAGTAGCACAGGCATTGTGAGTGATAAGAAGGAAAATATAAGAACTTGCTATTGTTTTGCTAGGTTAACAATTAATGTGTAAATATGGTAGTGACCATAGTGCTATAGCTAGCCTCTACAGGCATTATCTATTTAAATATATAGGTATAGTCTATCTGCTCCTATTTGTATAAAGGGAAATAAATGTGATGATTTATTATTATTAAATTATAAGAAGTTTTGTTTTTAGAAACAAATGTTCATCTGTTGCAAAAGTTTCCAGTCACAAGTTATCTTTATGAAATTTTTGTTTAACAAGATGTTAGATTGGGAACTTTTAGGACAATTTAATAAATATTTTATTTTGTTACTTTATAGGTGCAAGATTTGTGACAGTAGATCCAGCAGCATGTCTAGAAAGTGGTGTAAACTACAGTATACGTATAGAGTTTAAAAGATATCAGAGTGATCAATTAACACCTGAAGCTACAACTCTCATAGACTCTGTATGTTTATTATTATAATTAAGCTAATTAAGCAAGCTACTCTCTTTAGCTTATTTTGATGCTAACATATCTATGTCAAAACAACTTTGTAGGATGATATCAAAAAACATTGTGATCAATTTATGTAAGGCTCAAACTGTTGCAGGTTTTTGATGGATAAAGTTTTTAAGGGTTTCTCTGTACATTTCTGACAAAAGTTCTTCAGTAACGTCAGAATTTTTAAATTGCAAATGTAAGATGAAAAAATATTGACTGATAGAACATTATATTTCATGTTGACTTTTAATCACAATCAGATCTTTACTTTTATGATAACTTGCATTTTCAGATTATTTTGGTTCCTAGCACTGACAGTATTCCAATCTTCCAAGGCCCGGGCCTTCCTGAGTATATGAAGAATGAGTATATCCGATACAGGTGCAGAGAGCTCCAACTACATGTACATAGACCAGAGCTTCCAGAACTCTGCAGAAAACACGTGTTTAGTATTTCTGGCATAATTCACCATAGAGCTTTAGGTTTGTATATATCTAAATATATATTTGAGTCTCTTGTTTGTAAAAGTGCATGCATAAGTGTACAATAAAGTGGTTCATGCTTAGAAACTCATATGTTTGAAACTTCAAGTCCAGGCCTTTCGTTAGGACGACAGGTGTCAGGATGAATGGTGCAACAATATAACAAAGTGTTTTTTGAGTTCTGATTATTATGAAATTATAGTATTCATGTTTATTGATCAACCTTTTATTTGAATGTTTAGCATGGAATCATAATGCTTAACTAAGTGTTGATTTTGTTCTTGTATAATACATTTTGTAAATTTTTCTGTGTCAATAAGTTGTAATTTCTTAATTTACATTTAAATTGATGAGCATCTTTAATTTTCATGTACATTAAATAAATCGATATGTAAATTTTGGAGGTCAAACACTATCAAGTATTATAACATGAGCGTAATTTGATTGATTTTGTTGTTTTGAATGTTACAGCTGTTAAATTTCGTTTCTGTTTATTTTTATTTCAGACTGTGACTGTGATTTGACTGGATCATTGAGTTTTGAGTGTGACCCAGTCGGAGGACAGTGTCAATGTAAGCCACATGTTGTAGGCAGGAGATGTGATCAGTGTGCACCTGGCACCTATGGATTTGGTCCTAACGGATGCACTCGTAAGTTAATATTTAGCTCATTTATTCATTTAGTATTTATTTGTTTAACATGCTTGTAAAGAATAGTGTGTTATTTAGGACTTCTGTATACGAAAGTTCCAGAAGTATTGAGTAAGGAAAATTTTTTAACGTTACACAATATAAAAAGTAAAGGGTCATTATTACATGTTTACAGTTTTATATTCAATATGTTCCAGCTTGCAACTGTCATGCTATCGGAGCTAGAGATAATTTCTGTGACATTGAGACGGGACAGTGTCTATGTGTATCAAATGTACATCAGCGAATCTGTGATATATGTGAACCAGGATTTTATGGCTTCCCATACTGTCGACCGTGCCAATGTAATGGTAATGCAGAAATCTGTGACAACCTGACTGGAGAATGTGAATGCTCAAATTACACAAGTGGCCATAACTGTGAAAGGTGAGCTAATTATGTATACTGCCATTTTGTAGTTGACTTATGCTTGAATCTTAGGAGGAATGTTAAATTATTCAAGTTGTGAATGACGAAAATCATTTAGCAACACCTGGGTTTTTTTATTTTCGCCAATAAGGCTTGAAAGTAGCTATTTGACCTTAAAAGTGATATTATCAAGTAAATTCCAACCTAAGTAACAAAATTGCTTTAAACAGTTGAGGGTAAAATAATGATCAGTCTGAATAATAGAATCTTTATTAGACTTGTATTAAATTCTAAACCTTTTTTACCAAAACATTAATTCTTTATTATGGACATAATTATATTTTATCTAATATTTTGTAATTATTGTAAGATGTATTGATGGGGTTACTATGGAAGATTCGTATTGGTTTAAACCGTATTCCATGTAAAACCTTGCATGTGTCCAGGGGGACCAGACCATCCTGCCCAACATGCTGACACATGTTATCATGACCCTAGACTGGATTATGTCGTCTGCAACTGTGAATTGGGTTACAAAGGTAAGTTGGATAAATCAGATATGTTTTGAAATGCTCTTACCTATGTTTTGTTCATTTCTTTGTTTAGCTGTCAATATTTGTCATGGTAATTTGCCTCTCACCACTGATTTAAAAATCATGTGTGATTAGTAGTCAGTCACTTGAGGAGAAATTGGTAATTACCGGTTAGTTATCCAGGAAGACCAGTACAGTGCACCGGCTGCTAAAATGTCACTAAAAATGCTATAAATTTGGTTTACGTAAAAATCCGACGAACATACTAAGCATGATAAAATACCATCTCACATACATGTTTTATTTAGTTGTGATCAAGTGAAACATTATTTAATGTAGGCCCAGACTGTGGAACATGCGATGAAAATTACTTTGGCAACCCAGCAGAGATCGGTGGTACATGTGAAACATGTGACTGTAACGGCAACATTGACCCGGACGATATCGGCAACTGCGATGCCGAGACTGGTGAATGTCTCAAATGTCTCTTCAACACAGAAGGTTTCAATTGTGAGAAATGTCAATCTGGTTACTATGGAAATGCTCTTACACAGAACTGTATTGGTAGGCAATATTACATATGCTTGACTTTTAATTAAAATATCATAACACAAAAAGAATATTTCTTGAAAATTTACTTAAATTTGTTCATCTGTTGAGCAGGGATGACAATTTGCTGTGATGGGGTGGTTCATCCCTTAGTATGTAACTGTTTGCCTTATCTGGTCAACTTCTTAAAGCTTATGTTGTGATTTATGTAGCATAATTGGGATATTACCCATGTCCATTAGATGGTCCTTCTTGATTTTGAGTTGCAAATTAAAGGTCCCAGTGACGCTAGTCTGATCATTAACTTATTATGAAATGAAATTATGTTTGTTAAACTTTAATATTAGAGACATTGCCCGTCGCCAGTTGATGAATCCTTTTGATTTTGTGATTATTTAGTCAAGATTCAAGGTCACATTGAATCTTTGTGTATAATCTTTGTATCATTAATAATAAGCCAAGGCTTGTTAAACTTAGTAGGAACAGTTCCAATGGCCATTAGATGACTGCATATGATTTTAAGGTCATGATGTAAAGGTCACAGTGATACTGTGTAAAATCCTAATCAATTACAAGAATTTCTTCAGTCATAGGTTTATGAAACTTATTATTATACTAATTTTTAATATGTTACTGTATTATTATATATCTTGACCTTTTTGAAATATACATAAGTATGAATATATGCCACTGTGATAGACAAATGGAGTTGGTGCATAAGTTTCCTATGGACACATTTCTAGTTGAACACGAGCATGTCTGTATTTTATAGAGTGCATCTGTAACCCGATTGGAACTGACCCTAATGGCGGAGAATGTGACCGTACCACTGGTCAGTGCCCCTGTCTTCCTAATGTGATAGGTCAGAAATGTGACATGTCCGCTCCCGGATACTACAACATGACAATAAACATAGGCAGTGTATCGTGTAACTGTGATCCTGAGGGTTCATTTGGAATTGAATGTAATGAGGTAAAAATATACAAAATATTTGAATCACATTCAAATGAAATAATATGTCACAGCTTCAAAATGAGAAGTCTTCATAATTATGTTATTGAAATTTTTAGGTTCTTAGTCCTATTTAGTCTTATTTTAAATGGTGTAAATGTGTTTGTTGTGTTCTTAAGTAATAATTGTAAAAGATTTCCTAATCACTTATTCTGCCATTCTAATGTGTAAAAATCTACACTGAATATAAAAAAGTATAAATAATTAAAAAGTTGTGTTATGACATGCATACAACCTTATTCTTTCTTATTGCGATCAACAAAAAGTACATGTTTTCTTTTAATATCTGTTGCTTATTTGGCATATGAACAGAACAATTTCCAGAAGCATTCAATAAAATGAGATGAGCATGATAATTCATGGAAGCTATTAGACAAACAATTAATAAAACAGTACAAGATATATCCAATTAGTTGTATAATATAACATGTGTATATTGTATTTTGTTGTTCAGCTGACAGGACAGTGTGACTGTAAAGCAGATAGAGGTGGGCGAACCTGTAGTGAATGTAGAGATCTATTCTGGGGAGATCCATTAGAGGAATGTTATCGTATGTTTTATATTATCATGATCAATACATTACAATAAATGTTATAAGACATTATTACTGTGCCAATAAAATCTAAACTTAAACAATTCTTGTCAATTATACAACACTCTCTCTTGCTTAAGTTAACCTCATTTTCTTTCTATGAATTTTTACATGATAAAATTTTTTTTGTAAAACATTTACAGTGAAGTTACTAGATGCCTTTAATACAGTGTTGCAAGAAATGTTTTAAATAAACGATTTACATGGAAAGGCCTCCATGTGCACTTAGTTTAAGATCAGTTTTCCTTCAACACTTTAGTTCAAGTCTAGCTAGTGTCTTTTTGAATCTTTCATGTGATGAAACTTTTCATCTAGCTCATGGAAGATCAGTGGTTTTACTTGGACATCTGTCAATGCCTGAAATAATGTATGGAGAGATTCTAAATGTCTTCCACAACCAGTAAAGCTGAAAACTTGTCATATTTCCAGTATGGTGCCATTGTGACTTTAAACCATAGCAACCTCATTATAATTAAATACAACTCATTGCTATACCTGTAGTACATGAATATCGAGTGTGATGTCCTCTGTGAAGGCTCACATAAAACTTCTATATCAAAAAACATGTAAAATATATCTTATTACATATACAGTACAAATAGATAGATCCCTACTCTGACCTTTAATTTGAATAACAAATAGATTTAACCATTGACATTGACATGTACTCTTTTGTTAACAAATATGCTTTAATGAAATTCTTATTGTATCCACTAATCTGATAATTAGAATTAGACATGTCAGGGATCTATGCATATTGGTTGATAAATCTATATAAATGTATGTATTTAACGTGATTTTGTTGTCTTGTTCAGCATGTGATTGTGATGGTCAAGGATCGTCCCAGCAGCAGTGTGACCGTCGTACTGGACAGTGTGTCTGTCTACTAGGTATCAGTGGCTACAAATGTGATAGATGTGACCGAGGCACTACAGGAGAACTGCCTAACTGTGTACCGTGTGGAGACTGCTTCGATAACTGGGACAGAATTATCCGAGATCTGAGGGGTAATTATTGTTGTTGTCTGTTGCTAGTATAAATATTATATTTCAAAGTTTTTATTTATATTTAATATTTTTATTAATTATCTAACTATAATTTTTGTATTTGTTATCTTTATCTATTTTTAATAATTCTGTAAGAAAGATTAATTACTTATTTCTTTTCATTTTATCACATAAGCTTGAACTAATGAGTGTGGAAATGTTTTCAATAATTAGGTCAGACAGAGGTGTTGATTGAACAAGGCAGAAATATTCAGATAGAGGGCGCTGCTGGGGCGTTTGATAAAGAATTCCGTGTAATGGAGGATAACCTAGCTGAGATTAGGGAGATTATAGAGAATGCTGGAGTGTCATCATATGACGTTGAGGAGCTTGAAAAAATGATCAAAAATATTAGGTATGTCTTAAAAAACAAATTATGTATACCATAAAAAAAGCAAATTAAGTATATCTTAAATATATATTAGGTCTCCAATTTTGAATTAGTGTCAATAATGTAGTTATAGCTTTAGAGCTTGATTAATGATATTTTGAAGTATGATTCAGTGTCTGAATGAATCTTATTGAGAATCTGTAAATATAATAGCAAAAATTTAAAAAATCTTCTTTGAAAAAACCCAAATAGCTAGAGTTTAGATATTAAGCATGAAACATCTTCTAGTGAGTGTCTACAAAGTTTGTTCAAATAAAAGCCCTGGGGTCAAAATTGACCCCGCCCCGGGGGTCATTGATTTTCCTTATATGTGTATTGCAAAAACTTAAAAATCTTCTTTGAAAAAACCCAAATAGCTAGAGTTTAGATATTAAGCATGAAACATCTTCTAGTAAGTGTCGACAAAGTTTGTTCAAATAAAAGCCCTGGGGTTAAAACTGGCCCCGCCCCAGAGGTGTCATTGTTTTTAACTATATGTGTAGAGTAAAAACTTAAAATATCTTCTTTTAAAAAACCCAATGAGCTAGAGGTTAGATTGTTAAGCAGGAAACTTCTTTTTGTAGGTGTCTACCAAGTTTGTTCAAGTAAAAGCCCTTGGGTTAAAATTGGCCCTGCCAAAGGGGGGGGGGGGGGGTCATTGTTTTTATGCCACCGCAGCATCTGCGATGCGGTGGCATATAGCGATTCACCTGTGTGTGTGTGTGTGTGTTTGTTTGTGTGTGTGTGTGTTATATAGATTATATAGTGAACTTAAAAAATCTTCTTGTGAAAAACCACTGGTCCAATTTCAACCAAACTTGGCAGGATTGATCCTTGGGTGAAGGGGTTCCAAAGTTGTTCAAAGAATTTCATTCCATGCAGAAATCTTGTTCCCATGGCAACCAAAAGGAATTATAAGAATAAATTTAAAAAATCTTCTTGTAAAGACCCAAAAGGCCTAGAGCTTAGATATTTTGCATAAGGCATTGTGTGGTAGATATCTACCAAGTTTGTTCAAATTATAGCCCTGGGGTCAAAATTGGCCCGCCCCGGGTGTCATTGATTTTCACTATATGTACATATAGTACAAATTTAAAATACCTTCTTGTAAAGACTGAAAAGGCCTAGAACTTAGATATTTTGCATAAGGCATTGTCTGGTAGACCCTTACCAAGATTGTGCAAATTATAGCCTTGGGGTCAAAATTGGCCCCGCCCCGGGGGTCATTGATTTTCACTATATGTACATATAGTAAAAACTTAAAATACCTTCTTGTAAAGACTGAAAAGGCCTAGAACTTAGATATTTTGCATAAGGCATTGTCTGGTAGACCCTTACCAAGATTGTGCAAATTATAGCCTTGGGGTCAAAATTGGCCCCGCCCCGGGGGTCATTGATTTTCACTATATGTACATATAGTAAAAACTTAAAATACCTTCTTGTAAAGACTGAAAAGGCCTAGAACTTAGATATTTTGCATAAGAAATTGTCTGGTAGACCCTTACCAAGATTGTTCAAATTATAGCCTTGGGGTCAAAATTGGCCCCGCCCCGGGGGTCATTGATTTTCACTATATGTACATATAGTAAAAACTTAAAATACCTTCTTGTAAAGACCTAAAAGGCCTAGAGCTTAGATATTTTGCATAAGGCATTGTCTGGTAGACCTCTACCCAGATTGTTCAAATTATGGCCCTGGGGTCAAAATCGGCCCCGCCCGGGGGTTCATTGATTTTCCTTATATGTATATAGTAAAAATTAAAAAAAAAATCTTCTAGCAATTGACAAATGCTAGAGGTATGATATTTTGCATGAAACATTGTGAAGTGAACTTCTAGCAAGATTGTTCAAATTATAGCACTGGGGTCAAAATTGCCCCCGCCCTGGGGGTCATTGATTTTCAATATATATATAGTAAAAATTCTTATTGTCTGAAGGTACAAGGCTTAAAGCTTTAATATATTTGTTAAATGATATCATCTATAGGAACTCTACCAATGTTGTTCAAATTTTGCCTCTAGTGTCAAAATTAGCCCAACCCCGGGGGCCATAGGTTTCCCTTATATGTATATAGTAAAAACTTTAAAAAATCATCTTCTCTAAATTTACAAAGGCTAGAGTTAAGATTTTTTGCATGAAACATTGTGTAGTGAACCTCTAGCAAGATTGTTCAAATTATAGCCCTGGGGTCAAAATTGGTTCCGCCCCGGGGGTCATTGATTTTCATTATGTACATATAGTGAAAAAATAAAAAAATATTTTTGTTTGAAGGTACAAGGCATAGAGCTTTGATGTTGGGGCAGTGATTGTCATTATGTACACATAGTAAAAACGGAAAATAAAAGAAATGTTTTCTGAATGGGAGAAAGCTATAGCTTAGATATTTGACTTGACCTGTATCAAAATTGTTTTGAATTAAACCCTTGGGTCAAAATTATGCCTTGCCCAAGGGGACAGTGACCTACTTTCTTGTCCTTTGATGTACAGCAATGACATTTTGACCATGTGCACAGTTTTAGTTGTAAAATTGAACTTTGATATCAGGTGACCTAGATTTTGATGATGTGACCTACTTTCTTGTCCTTTGATGTACAGCTATGAAATTTGAACCATGTGCACAGATTAAGATGTAAAGTGAACTTTGATTTCAGCTGACCTAGATTTTGACAAAGTGTCTTACTGTGTTGTCCTTTTGATGTAGTCATGAAATTTAGGCTGTGTGAAAATATGACCTTCACCACTAAATTCACTAGACTCGAGTGCATTGATATATTCTACTCTGATCTTTTTATTTTAGTAAAACAACAGATTTAACCACTAATCTGATAATAAGAATAAGATAGGTCAGGGATCTATGCATTATGACAATCTTCAAAATTGTATAGAAACAAAAAAATCTGTTCCTACACTACTATTTAGTGTTGTATTAATGCGGTGGCATAGCATTTTTCTCAAATGCAATCTTGTTCATTATTAGCTCACCTGTGTGTCCGTCTGTAAACTTTTATATGTTTATAGCAAAAACTTAAAAATCTTCTTTTAAAAAACCCAATGAGGGACCTCAGGGCCATCATGGCCCTCTTGTTATGTTTTCTCCTGTATTGATATATTAACAATTTGATTTACATAATTTTTAACAGAGAGAATATAACAAAAAATGTTGAGAATTTGAACAACATGGACGAGGATTTACAGAACACGATGGGACGTATCCAGGGTGGTAACAATCGTATAGCAGCTCTTCAAATTGGAGTTAAAGATCTTAATATGAAAGCTCAACAACTGAGGAAAAATGCCAGTGATATTCAGGCCCAGGATGTTGAAGGTTAGAACATATACATAATACAAAACCTCGTACATTAAGCTAAACTCTAATTGTACAAAAAATCCTTACATAGTTTAAAGGTTAAAGCTGCGTAGTTACATTGTTGTCTGGTATGTAGGCCATGAGGAATATTAGTTTCCTCCATGTTTAGAAGTCACTCGGCTAGTTACAGTGGATGACAGTACAAAAATTGTGTTTCTATCTGGAAATGTGTAGGTGTTACTCTAAACTAGCAAATATTTGCATGCAGTTTTTGGAATAGTAATCAATCAAACTTGATTAATTTTTACATTTTTTTGTACAAGATAAATGTTTTTGGTACTTTTTTTTAGTAATAAGTCATAAATCATGTGTTTAAGGTGCTTTCAACATAACAAGAGAGGCCCAGCGTAGGTCACAAGAAGCTCAGATGATGGTAGATGGAACCAACAGATACATTCAAGAATCCCAGGACACACGAGAAAGAGTGGAAAGAATGCTGGAAGACAATATGGAGGATTTCAACAAAACTTTACAAAGCAATCAAAATGCCCTGAAAGACTTGGACATGGATGTAATGGAACTGAGTGGTAAAGTCACAGAGATCAATACCATGGTTAGTTTGTGTCATGTCACTTTTACAGAAATATGGTGAAATAATAAAGAGACTATAATACCAACTTATATATAATGAAACAGGTACAAGAATGTAGTACTGTAGCTCGAATGGATTAAAATTTTAAGCATGTTTATTTCATTTTCACACTTTCAACCTTTTTATTTTACATTGAAATTTTATTATTTTCTACTAAGGCTACTTAATTGTCAGTTTTTTTTGTAAAAACTTTGTAATACCTGAAGTAATGATATGTTCACAACATGTAAGTTTTATAGTTTGCTGATAAATTTACATTTTAGATGTATGTTGTTAAGAGAATGAATGTCATTGCTGACATATAAACAATATTGTAGGTATGTGATATTAACAATATTGTAGGTATGTGATATAAACTATATTGTAGGTATGTGATATAAACAATATTGTAGGTATATGATATAAACAATATTGTAGGTGTATGATATAAACAATATTGTAGGTATGTGATATTAACAATATTGTAGGTATGTGATATAAACAATATTGTAGGTATGTGATGGTACAGGTGATCCATGTGATGATGTATGTGGTGGTGGTGGCTGTGGTGTATGTGGTGGACCAAGCTGTGAGAAGGGAGCAGTCACCAAGGCTGATAATGCCCTTGACCTTGCTATGAAAGCTGAAGCCTTGCTCAAGGTCAAGGAAGATAAATCTAGAGGATTACATACCAATGTAAGGAATTGTGACAATTCTTTCAAAATATTTTATAATAGGAGTGATAGAAGACAGATGGTTCTACAATGAATTTTCAACCCTAACTGCGTATATTATCTAAAGTGGATTTATATAATTATCTTTCAATGTGCTGTCCTTTTTAGGGAAAATTTTAAAATATGTACAGACTGATAAGCAAACATGGGTAGAAGCAGGTTAACAGTTAAAGAAATTTTATGGAGAACACGTCAACAACTGACCTAATGTTACTTCAATACATAATTATGATCAATTTCTGAATTAAAATGAAAATCATTACATATGTGAGAGTATTACAGCTTTAATGTGTAAACTTTATTTTACCAGCAAGGAATGCATTTGAATCTTGTCTTTCCTGTACAAAGTGTTTAATAAGATGCTTAAATAAATCACTTTTACAAAAAATGTATATCATATACAGAATAGATAAAAAACGACACCTAAGAAATACATGATTTATGTTCCAATAGGTGACAGCTGCTCATGACTTGTCTCAGATGGCTAAAGCTGAAGCTCAGATGGCATTTGATGAGGCAGCTAAAGCTCGCCTTGTGTCCGAGAATACAAGATCTAATCTTGAACAACTTCTGGACGAAATTAGAAATTTCCTGATTACTGATGGAGCTACACCAGCTGATATTGAACTGGTAATTATTGTCAAGTTATTTATACCTTAACCTGCACAATTTGTGTATTACTGCTTTAATTTATTGTACTGTCAATTTAAAGTTTATAGGCTTTCAATGAAAAAAAATACTAAAATTTAGTAACCATCAGCGGTTGATATTTACAGTTTAAATGTAAATAAATGTTAATAAAATTTTGGCATTGTTCATAGGAACCAAAGCTTATCACAAAGATTTAGATGTCATGTACATGTTTTTATTTCATGAAATTCTCCGATGTTTTTCAGATGGCACAGGAAGTTCTAGCTATGAGTATTTCACTGAAACCAGATCAGATTACTGAATTAGCTAATGAGATTAACAGTACAATACAGGGATTACAAAACATTGATGGCATTATCAGGGATACACAAGATAATCTCACACTCGCTGAAAAACTGAAGGAAAGGGCAGACAACGCATCGTAAGAATCTATAGTCTCTTTGTACATATAAATGCATTTTTAGCTCACCTGTCACAAAGTGACAGGGTGAGCTTTTGTGATCGCTTTTCGTCCGGCTTCCGTCGTCCGTCCGTCCGTCGTCCGTAAACTTTTACTTTAAATGACATCTCCTCATAAACCACTAGGCCAATTTCATCCAAACTTCACAGGAATGTTCCTTTGGTGGTCACCTTTAAAAATTGTTCAAAGAATTTAATTCCATGCAGAACTCTGGTTGCCATGGCAACCGAAAGAAAAAACTTTAAATATCTTCTTTTAAAAAACCCTAAGAGCTAGAGCTTAGATATTTGGCATGAAACATCTTCTAGTGAGTGTCTACCAAGTTTGTTCAAATAAAAGCCCTGGGGTCAAAATTGGCCCCGCCCCAGGGGGTCATTGATTTTCCCTATATGCATATAGTAAAAACTTAAAAAATCTTCTTTTAAAGAACCCAAAGAGCTAGAGCTAAGATATTTAGCATGAAACATGTTCTAATGAGTGTCTACCAAGTTTGTTCAAATAAAAGCCCTGGGGTCAAAATTGGCCCCGCCCCAGGGGGTCATTGATTTTCCTTATATATGCATATAGTAAAAACTTAAAAAATCTTCTTTTAAAGAACTCAGAGAGCTAGAGCTAAGATATTTAGCATCAAACATGTACAAAAGTGAGACTTAAATAAACAAATTGACTTGTTCTAATAGGTGTCTACAAAGTTTGTTCAAATAAAAGCCCTGGGGTCAAAATTGGCCCCGCCCCGGGGGTCATTGATTTTCCTTATATGTGTATAGCAAAAACTTAAAATCTTCTTTGAAAAAACCCAAATAGCTAGAGTTTAGATATTAGGCATGAAACATCTTCTAGTAAGTGTCTACAAAGTTTGTTCAAATAAAAGCCCTGGGGTCAAAACTGGCCCCGCCCCAGGGGTGTCATTGTTTTAACTATATGTGTATAGTAAAAACTTAAAAAGTTTTCTTTTAAAAAGCCCAATGAGCTAGAGCTTAGATGTTTAGCATGAAATATCTTCTTATGGGTGTCTACCAAGTTTGTTCAAATAAAAGCCCTGGGGTCAAAATTGGCCCCGCCCCAGGGGGTCATTGATTTTCCCTATATGCATATAGTAAAAAACTTAAAAAATCTTCTTTTAAAGAACTCAAAGAGCTAGAGCTAAGATATTTAGCATCAAACATGTTCTAAATAGGTGTCTACCAAGTTTGTTCAAATAAAAGCCCTGGGTTTAAAATTGGCCACGCCCCGGGGGTCATTGATTTTCCTTATATGTGTATAGCAAAAACTTAAAAAATCTTCTTTGAAAAAACCCAAATAGCTAGAGTTTAGATATTAAGCATGAAACATCTTCTAGTGAGTGTCTACAAAGTTTGTTCAAATAAAAGCCCTGGGGTCAAAATTGGCCCCGCCCCAGGGGTCATTGATTTTCCTTATATGTGTATAGCAAAAACATAAAATCTTTTTTGAAAAAAACCCAAATAGCTAGAGTTTAGATCTTAAGCATGAACCATCTTCTAGTAAGTGTCTACAAAGTTTGTTCAAATAAAAGCCCTGGGGTCAAAACTGGCCCCGCCCCAGGGGTGTCATTGTTTTTAACTATAATTATGTGTATAGTAAAAACTTAAAAAATCTTCTTTCAAAAAGCCCAATGAGCTAGAGCTTAGATGTTTAGCATGAAACATCTTCTTATGGGTGTGTGGGGGGGGGGCTATATACAGGTGAGCGACCTCAGGGCCATCATGGCCCTCTTGTTTGAAAGGAAACAGTGTTTTGTTGCAGATTTTCTTTTGAAGGTTTGAAACAGTTTTGAATAAGAGTTTGGTATCTGTTATCATTTGAATTCAGTTTTTATTGTCAGTATGTTGAAAGATTGGGAGCTAGAATATGTGAAAGTTTGTATAATGGAATTGCCCTGCTTTCAATTTGGAACAGTCCGTTCAGAGTTAAAGGGATTTCTGTATCAAAATATAAAAACTGGCTACAAACTGAACAGTATAGAGCATGGTCAGACTGTATACTGATGACAAGTCTAATCACTGTCACTATCTGCAAGTTAAGTATTTTATTTGCAGACTTTTAGCTCACCAGAGGGTAAATTATTATGTATTTATGTATTAGCTCCCTTTATTTCATGTTTCATATTGTAACTTGTTATATTTGATTGATAGGAAAGCTGCTGCTGCTATATTGGACACAGCTCAGGGTGTGTTGAGAGCTTTGAATGGATCAAGGGAGGCACAGAACAAAGCTAGACTAGCTATAGATACAGCAGATAGTGATATCAAAAATGCTCAGACTGATCTTACTCAGGTATACATTGGATCTTTTGGTTTATTTACAAGATTGTTTACTAACTTAGCTTCAGGTTATTGTGGGAAGGGCCAACTCTCTAATGTTGTTAAGTTGTGGTCCGGCCCTTTTGCTTTTTATAAACACCCACAGCAGCCTTGTAAATACTGTTTATTTATTCATTACTGTTTTGTCTTATGTTTGCATGTGACATTGTATCTGTTTTTGTATAGAATGAATAAAAAGTAATAAAATATGATTGAACTAAGGTTATTATGCTCTTTGAACCATTTTCAACATGTGTTGTTTTAGGTGTAAGTGTTCAAGTTGTTTGTTGAAGTGATACAGCTTACTTATGAAATTTTTTGTTCTCCTTTTGGTTAAAGAAACCACTGTCTCTCATATAAATTTTGTTAAATGAAAATGGACAATATTTTTATATTAAAAAAAACAAAAACAAAAAAAACAATAAAATTAGCCGAGAGAATTTTGTTTTCTCTTTTACTTAATAATACAATGACGGTGTAGTAGTACTTAATAATACATTAATTATTGTTATATGCTGAGATCAAGATATTAATATGTTTAGGAGTTTGTTTGTTGTTTAGTGTTTTTATTTTGTCTTTTTTTTTTCAATTATGTTCACAAAATAATTTCAGATTGAGTCGGAGACTGCTGCTGCTGAAGACAAATCACAAGAGACGATGGAAAAGGTTGATAAACTGAAGACAAACCTAGAAGATCTACAGAGTAAAATTAATGAAAATGAGTTCAGAGTCCAGAATGCAGAACAAGTTGCTAATGATGCTGAAGACTTGGCTAAGAAAGCTAAAAAGGTAAATATATTATAATATGAGCCGCGTCACAACAAAACCAACATAGTGGGTTTGCGACCAGCATGGATCCAGACCAGCCTGCGCATCGGCGCAGTCTGATCAGGATCCATGCTGTTTGCTATCAGTTTCTCTAGTTGTAATAGAGTTGGTAAGCGAACAGCATGGATCCTGATTAGTCTATGCGGATGCGCAGGCTGGTCTGGATCTATGCTGGTCGCAAACGCACTATGTTGGTTTTGTCGTGACGCAGCTCATATACAGTTGTCCTCTAGTTCTTTACATAATGTCTTTATGTTTACCACTGACAAGTATATACTGAAAATGGTTTTGATGAAGCAGCTTTTTTAGCTCACCTGTCACAAAGTGACAGGGTGAGCTTTTGTGATCGCTTTTCGTCCAGCGTCCTTCCGTCCGTCGTCCGTCCGTAAACTTTTGCTTTAAATGACATCTCCTCATAAACCACTGAGCCAATTTCATCCAAACTTCACAGGAATGTTCCTTTGGTGGTCACCTTTAAAAATTGTTCAAAGAATTTTAATTCCATGCAGAACTCTGGTTGCCATGGCAACCGAAAGAAAAATCTTTAAATATCTTCTTTTAAACAACCCTAAGAGCTAGAGCTTAGATATTTGGCATGAAACATCTTCTAGTGAGTGTCTACCAAGTTTGTTCAAATAAAAGCCCTGGGGTCAAAATTGGCCCCGCCCCAGGGGGTCATTGATTTTCCCTATATGCATATAGTAAAAACTTAAAAAATCTTCTTTTAAAGAACCCAAAGAGCTAGAGCTAAGATATTTGGCATGAAACATCTTCTAGTGAGTGTCTACCAAGTTTGTTCAAATAAAAGCCCTGGGGTCAAAATTGGCCCCGCCCCGGGGGGTCATTGATTTTCCCTATATGCATATAGTAAAAACTTAAAAAATCTTCTTTTAAAGAACCATAAGAGCTAGAGCTTAGATATTTGGCATGAAACGTCTTCTAGTGAATGTCTACCAAGTTTGTTCAAATAAAAGTCCTGGGGTCAAAATTGACCCCGCCCCAGGGGGTCATAGATTTTCCCTATATGCATATAGTAAAAACTTAAAAAATCTTCTTTTAAAGAACCATAAGAGCTAGAGCTTAGATATTTGGCATGAAACGTCTTCTAGTGAATGTCTACCAAGTTTGTTCAAATAAAAGTCCTGGGGTCAAAATTGACCCCGCCCCAGGGGGTCATAGATTTTCCCTATATGCATATAGTAAAAACTTAAAAAATCTTCTTTTAAAGAACCCAAAGAGCTAGAGCTAAGATATTTTGCATGAAACATCTCCTAATGAGTGTCTACCAAGTTTGTTCAAATAAAAGCCCTGGGGTCAAAATTGGCCCCGCCCCAAAAACTTAAAAAATCTTCTTTTAAAGAACTCAAAGAGCTAGAGCTAAGATATTTAGCATGAAACATGTTCTAATGGGTGTCTACCAAGTATGTTCAAATAAAAGCCCTGGGGTCAAAACTGGCCCCGCCCGGGGGGGTCATTGATTTTCCTTATATGTGTATAGCAAAAACTTAAAAATCTTCTTTGAAAAAACCCAAATAGCTAGAGTTTAGATATTAAGCATGAAACATCTTTCAGTAAATATCTACAAAGTTTGTTCAAATAAAAGCCCGGGGGTCAAAACTGGCCCTGCCCCAGGGGTGTCATTGTTTTTAACTATATGTGTATAGTAAAAACTTTAAAAATCTTCTTTTAAAAAACCCAATGAGCTAGAACTTAGATGTTTAGCATGAAACATGTTCTAATGGGTGTCTACCAAGTCTGTTCAAATAAACAAATAAAAGCCCTTGGGTAAAAATATCATATGAAAACATTCTCTAGTTTATTTGATGCTTGACTATATATGAAATGGATTATAAACTAATGTCCAAAGGCTATATAAGGCTATATAAATCAAAATATAATAGGAAGTGACCATGTAGGCTGACATGTTATCAAAAACCTTTCAATTCAGACTTATTGGTAATGATTTACCTAAATCATAACCAGGCCCTCTTACAGGAATTTTTTGCATATGAAATGAGCATGGGTACAAGTTTTCAGGCATTTTACTGAAGTTCAGGTTTATTCTACTCCTGAAAGCTCTCTTTTTTCTATATAAAACCTATTTAAATAATACTAAATTCAGGGTGTTCAGGTTTTAACTTGCACCCATTTTGAGTATTACAGTGAATGAGTTTAACAGTAAATATAATGATATTACAGGATGCTAATGATCTAGAAGACAGATATCCAGATGTTCTCAGCAGATTAAATGATAAATATAACAGTACAGCTGATGCTAAGGGTAGAGTAGAGAAACTACGAGATAGGGCAAATAAACTGGCAACTGATACCACAGCTAAACTACAAAAATTACAAAGTAAGTATTCTTTATACTGAGAAAGTTTTTTCAGAGCTGTCAGATATCTTTATGAATTGTAGTTCAAGAAGTTCATATTTTTTTGGAACAATTTTGCAAAAAACATTTTGCTCGTCTGTTTGGAAGAAAAAGTCGAGCTATTATGATTGATACAATGTTGTTGTTGTCATTGTGTAAACATTTTTATGTAGTCATTTATTCAAATATTTTTAAAGTTCTCAACATGAAACTTGGAATACTTGCTTATCAAGACAATATGCAGTTGTAAGACAAGGGGCATAATTCTGTAAGCAATGTTTTCGAGCTATGCCCCTTTTTTAACTTAGACTTTTTAACAGACAGGTGTTAACAAGTGTTAAATTCTTTTTATGTAAGAATTTTGTGATTACTTTTTTTTTCAAAATTCAAATAACTATTTTTTCAACTTCAGGCTTTATACTTTTTCAGGCTTTATACTTTTTAACCTTCATCTTTACAAGTCAGCCTTCTGGTTTCTAGTACTAACTTTCAGCCTTCTTAAACTAATCTCCAGTTTTAATTATCAGTAAGACATGTATGAATTTATTGTATAAATTTATTTTCAGATATGAATGCAGAATTTGAAGGGTATGAGAAGCAACTGACCAGTTTATCTGATCAGATAGATAAACTTAACGAAGATATGACGGGATATTTAGCTGTTATACAACAGAAAGCCAATGATTATAGAACATGTACTACTTAGTTCATTCATTATTCTAGTAGACTGGTTTACACATAGGATGATATATGATGCAATACATGAATCTGGGTCTTAGGTTATAAAATTATTAATTTGAAAACCAGTCTTTTCGTTTTCTGTCTTGTCATTGGTCAGCTAAAAAAAATTGAAAACTGTATCAACCAATGATTTAAGATACGATTTTAGACTGGTTTTTAATTCATTTTTTTAACCTTTGACCTATAAATGAGGAGTACATGTATATTTGGAAGAAACTTTTATTCTTTGAGACAGAAGAAGGCAGCAGTACTGTTCAAGATAAAGAGAGAAACAAATACCAGTTAGAATTTTTTTTTTCAATACCAGAATAGAACTTTACATTTTATTGTTTTATTAAATAAAATTGAATGATAACTCATTTTATGGTAGCTTTTATATATATATACTTTAGAGTGTTAGAGAGGGATTAATTAGCATTGCATGAACAAAGAGAAATATAGTTCTTTTAATGCATTTTATATGAGATGATTTTGATCATGTCTTCCATGAAATATTGTTTGTTTGTTAATCATGTACATTTTCTACATACATAATGTCAGTTTACTATATAGTCAATACTACAATTTTACATAGTGAATTGTACTTTTATTACTGACTTTTACTAAATTTAAAAAAAAAAATATTTTTAGTTTTCAAGCTTAGAAACTTACATTTTATGCATAGATGCATTTGTTTAATGAATGCATTTCAGGACAGAAATTTCCTCTATATTTACTCCATGGATCTATTAATTAAGGTCTAAATGAGTGATACTAGTTGTAACAGCTGTTATCTTTATATCTCTTCTATAATTAAGTGATAATCATTTCTATGGTGCTGTATTTTGTGTGTACCTGTATATATTCACCTTTGACCTGCTGAACTCGTGAAATAATTGATTTGCCCAGCTTTGAATTTGGAACAGTCCATTCAAAGAGTTAAGGGATTTCAATATTAAAATAGAAAAACTGAGCTACCTACAGTATAGAGCCTGGACAGAATGTACATAGTATATAGATATACAAGCTGTCCTGGCTTTTCTGATGGTAAAGTTTTATCATGTTGCTTCCAGCAGGTTAAGGGTAAAATTGTTCATAATTTCTTGAAAATTGGAGAGTCCTACACTTTGTAACCAGATATAAGACTCTGATTTGGAGTTTACCAGGGTGTTGTAAATTTTCATTCAAAGAAAGACATATGAAATTAGAGTTTTGTATAATGTAAACATGAATTTAGCAAACATTTTCAGCTGTGTTCAGTGTGAGTGGTATAAATTCCATGTAAATGAAGCGAAAACGATTGCATGTATTTTAATAGGATTGTAATTTTATGAGAAATAGTGAATGTTATTTTATGGAAAAAGTGGGCATTGTCAATTAGAGTTATAGGTAAATTTCCATTATTACTTTGATTAGCATAGTAGAAGAAAGTATAAGGCTCAGTTTTCAAGAAATATTAAACAATTTAATAAAAGGCCAGTAAGTTATTGCATCTGGGATGCACGTTGTACAATACTGTAACATGTTTTGTCATAGACTGTGTATTCTACTGTGTAATGTGAAGATTTTGTATTCTGTCGTGTAATGAGATGTGTTTGTAGCATATTTTTACTGTCTATCCTTTTGTTGTATAAAGTTTTGTCTTGTTTCAGTTACAGATATTTGTATAGTTGATATTCGTTTAGAAATCTCACTGTGTAGGTTAATTTTTGTACATAATTCAGGACTTACATATTAAATTGGAAAAAAAGAAAATATCTGAATCATCAGTATTCCTTTCCCTCAGAAATATACACTTGCAATGTTAACGAAATTTGTTCTATATTTTCTAGCTTAAATATGCCTGAATAATATATAAATATGTTTAAAGCTTTTTTGAATGCTTTGTCTGAAATAAAAAAAAATTGACTCAGATTAATTTATCAAAATATATAGTAAGTAATTGTAAGTAAAAACATTATTTCTTAAATTGTACATGATTTTTTGGCTCAAAAATTTTTGTTGTAAGTATATGCATAATGTTTTTTATGACATAAAACTTTTTGTGTTTTGCATATTAAATTTAGCTATGAAGTATGTGTCAAAATCCAAACGTGGTCAACATTAAGAGTTTTTTTTAAATCCGTTTCTTTATTGTTGTGATACTGAACTTTAATCATTTGTGCCATATCGTACCATACATGTATACATACATATATATGTGTAGATTTAGGATGTCAGCTTGATATTTAACAATGTACTTGTTATAACTACAGGGACAGCTGTGTAGTTTTATATAATATGAATATATTTTCTTGTATACATGTAGAAATAAATATGTTTACAGAAATAGAAAGTGTACAATAATAAGATACAAAATTTAAATCACCAGGCATAAATATATACATTGTACATTTATCATATGTACACTAGACCTTTCTGTTAGATCTTAAATTAACGTTCATTAATATGTAAATATGTTACTAGTAAAGAATTACATATATGAAATCCAAGACTGGCATTCTTCATTTAGGTGTGAAAAAAATAATAGAAAATTGATCCAAACAAACTCTACACAACACCACAATGCCTGGCTTTACCTTCTTGTGTAGGTTTTGTAACTTTATCTTTCTTTTGGGGTGTGTGGGGTATAAACATAAAATTGTATGGAATATGTATAGAAGTGTTACAGTTGTTGTCCGACTGAACGGAAAGATTGTGTCTTCATTTAGTTTCTAGTAAATAATCTGTGTGTGTACTCATATGTCATTGTATTAAGCCATTTATATACATAACTGTAAATTCATAATGTTTTTATATCATTTTACTGCATTTTATTTCTTTATAGGCAATCTAATATACATTGTACATGTTTGTTTTTTTCATTACCTAGTGCCAAGTTTAGAAGTTGTGAACAAAGTCTTTTATGTGATTAAAATAGCTTTTTTTGTAATGTTTTTCTTTTCCTTGTGTTGTGTACTTCAACAGTGACATAGTTTACCACACTTAATACAGTAGGTTGTGTGTGTTAACACAGTGTCAGTAAAGCCAACAAAGTGAGGTGTTTACAAAGGTGGCCTGTTTAAACAAACCATTGGTCACACAACTGATTTTGTAAGTATATACAAATAGATTCAGAAGATGTTTTTCTGTCTGTTATATACATTATTAGTATCTGTTTGAATTATTTTTGGGGTGTATGTTCTAGTAATGTGAGAAAATTTGGGTTAGACTTCTAGGACATGCCTTCCAGATTCTTAGTAGAAGGCAATAATGGTTTTACTTCAAGAGAGGTACAAAAAATTGGTATATAAAACTTGGGATGGGCTTAATCTGAATAATTTGTTATCATCAAAATGTCAGTTTTCTGGGGTTTGCAACCTTACTGTACAAGTGGTGGTAAATTATTTATCTTAACATCAGTAGATTGATTTACATAAATTTGATTTGTCAAGTAGCAAGGGGATCAATTATTGTATGTAATGTATGTATAGCTGTTATGTCACTGTTGGGATAATCTTAGACATTTACCTCAACATAATCTACATTTACCTATATAAACTACATAATGCTTCTACTTACTAATCTAACATATTTATTTGCTGGTTTTGCTCAGTGCATACATTTCTCAATATAACATGCATAATGGAACTGTATATTGAAATTTATTTCGGAATTTAAAGTTTTAAATATTTCCTCTCCAAGACTTAACCATTTGTTTGTGTTAAATTACAAGATCTGTGATTGTATAGGTTATCTAAAGTAAAATGACTTCAATATAAATCTCATAAATTGCATAATAATAAAATGATAATAACTTACTTGGATCAATGTTAGTATAAAACATGTTAAGTATGATCTTTTTCTGTTCAACTTGTAGAAATTTTATGTTTGTATTTTTTTTCAGCTTATTTTATTTTCTCATATTCATGCATAACATGGTATTTGTTTACTTTTTGGTATTATCTTTGTGTATACAAAGTAACAAGATGAATAAATTGGCAGTCCCTCCAAATATGAGTTGTTTTCATTTGATCACTACAATTGTCAACAGTTTTCATTATTTCTTGCACAGCATTGCATTGCTGGTTCACTCCTTGGATGAAGCAGTTTTCTCCATGATAATTAAGTTGGACATGGAGACTAATGATCAATGACCAAAAATGTTTTAAAATCAGTGTATACACCTTCAAAAACAAGGTCACACAGCAGGGGTTTTATACTTGACAGGTATGCTCTCTGGTCAATATCTTTGCATCCTGTGATGAATTTAACAGTTGGCAATTTCTTACATAAAATATTCTTCTGTTTGCTTTGGTAACAGAAATTGTAATATAAGCCCTAAAAGCAGATGATAATAAAACTTGTATAATATAATAATACATGTGATTAATATGTAGAGATCATTGAGCAGTATTGCTGTTTCCAGTTATCTTAGGAAAATTTACAATTTTACAGTTAAAGTAGAACAAGGACAGGAGTTATAGCCTTGTATGTAAGTGTACTGTGATGTATGATGTACAAGTGACATGTTCTTGACTTAACTAAACCAGGAAGTTTGTTCAAGTAAAAGTTTATGAAACTTTTGTTTCTGCTATAAATTTACACATACTCCATGCAAATATAAAGTTTTCTTTAGCTGCAAGGATAAAATATTGAAAATAAAACACATTCTATATTGCTCATATTTTTTTTAATTTTTATTTTTTGATATTTTATGCAAACCATTCAAGACAAAGAATAAAAATAGTAATTATTCATTAAATAAAATTAAAATATAAATTAATGACAATAAATATATGAGTGATAAGAAGATAATAAATTAAGTTTTCAAAGATGCAAAACTTGATTCAAATAGTATCAGGACCATTTTGTTTGTAATTCAAGATGTAAGAAAACAACGAAAGTGACATTAAGCTCATTTTTTTTTTCAATGTCAAGTTGAGTTTTATTGACTATAAATTTCAATATTGACAATAATAATGGTGCTTGACAACAGTTGATATAAGAAAAAGTTTTGGATAAAATATATATCTGCCTAAAACATATAGATGGCCCATACTTTTATTAAGTATAATTTTTCCCTCTACAGATATTTCCAAAATGTTCCTTGAGCCATAAGAGTTACGGAATATATTGAAAAACTGAGACGAATCATGGCAAAAATGTATTTCAACTTTTAATAAATTTTAATAAATTAAGTTTTCAAAGATGCAAAACTTGATTCAAATAGTATCAGGACCATTTTGTTTGTAATTCAAGATGTAAGAAAACAACGAAAGAATACTATATCAGAATATATAGAGGATATTCAAGTTTTTTTCTATATAAACAGGATTAATTTTCAAGAGGCATGAAAATAATTATTTCACGAGTGGAAATAATATTTAAAATATGGTTCACTGCAGTGAAAAATACGGAAAATGAAAATATGCATTTTATTTCATTAATATTTCTCAGTTTTTTATTTATAAGTATATAATAAAGCTTTATTTTTCTATCAGGTCCTATTGATGCAAGTAATTTGGAAATATACGTACAGGCATATAATAAAATAAATCATGAGGTTGATAATAGTTTCACACACCAAGCTCCTGATTTAATGTTTATTAACTCTACACTTGAAAGTCTCAGTATAGCAATTCATTGTTCAGTTAATGTATAAATATATCTTCATGACAAGTTAAAGTTGCTCAGTATAATTTTCAACAATGAGACCTTTTGAGACCAACGTGTAGGAAACAATGGGGTATAAAATCAGCCAGACTATTCTATATGAGCAAAAGTGTAAAATCTAATTTAAATACCAGTGATCTTGACAATTTCAACCCACTTACTCCACCCAAAATAAGAGAACCAACCAAGGTTTGTTCCTACCAAATATTTAAGACATCTGTCAAAAATAAAGGTGGTGTGCACAAAAGTGTAAAATCTATTTTTAGCATTGCTAACCTTGACCTCAATGACCCCAAACCCAAAAGCATCCAAGGTATTTCTCACCAAATATGTTAGATAATGGTCAATAAATGATGTTAAACCTGAAGAAGAGAGCAATAACCTGAAACTGATGGTTAAATAATAAAAAGATCAGAACCACCTGGCGTTTGAAATGTTGTTTCCCCCTTCATGTTTATCCAGCTAATAAATGTTTGCTAGGAGAAAATATAGGAAAGCTCTATGGAAGTATGAACAGATGAAGTGGTGACTATATGCTCCCATTTTTTTTCAGAGAGCATAAAATATGATGTAAGTGTCCCAAAATGAAACTGACTGCTGATGATAAATGTATGAAAGAAAACTTGAAGATGATCAATTTTTTGCAATGTAAACTGGACGGAATTCTATCATTTTACAATCAGATTCTATGTATCTTATCTTGTCTATTCAGGGCAACACATGTTTATACTTCAATACAGATTATTTTCTATAAAAATATATAATGCAATATTACTTAAACAACAAAACTTGATCTTGTATAAAAACACCCTAGTAACAGGCCTTAGTTTGAGATCATTTTGTATGTTCCTTTATGTTAAATACAAGTGATGTTATTGTAACAATATTTAAGGGCAATGTCATTCATATTGCTTCAACAACTGTTGATGTTTTTTAAATATTCTTATATCAACAAATACACTGCATTAATGCCTAACATTATCAACTCCCATGTGACATTAATGTGTTGTTTTTTTATTTTAAACATGGCATGTGGTAAATCTACTTTGTATTGATCTTCACAAATCATGCAATAAGTAACTCCTCAAAAGAAAATTCCACAAATGGTGGATAACTGATATCCATTTAAAACAACTTCTCAACAATGTTCATCGATGCACCAATGTTACTTGAAGTAGAGGCCGGAGGTCATATTTGAGGAATATTCAACGGTTTAACTGTTAGACTTTGTCTCTTGTTCTTTGATCTTCTTCAGGGAGTCAAACATCAGATCACAGGCCTTCTTGTGTTTGTTCCAGTTAGCTACCTGACACTCTCTGTAAGTTATAATAAATGATATATGAGCCGCATCACAACAAAACCAACATTACGCGTTTGCGACCAGCATCCGCGCAGTCTGATCAGGATCCATGCTGTTCGCTTACAAACAAGTAGAGAAACTGATATTGAACAGCATGGATCCTGATCAGACTGCGCGGATGAACATTTAACTCATTAAAAATATAAACATTTATTATCTGATATTTTTTTCATCAAATCGTTTATGCATTTAATCTTTAACTAGGATCCAATTTTTTTATTATGGACTTTTTAAAACACATTTTTCCAGACAATGGAGGCAAGCACTACTCACCGTCGACAATACCACTCGTTCTGACATCGTGAACATCTTTTACTGGCATCTAAACCACAGTTCGCACACTTAGGTGGATCTGATAGTAGTCCCTCTATCACATCAAAGTTGTAGGTATCTGCCCATCTAGTATAGATAAACACAAAGTTCTAGACATCTTTATCAAATTCAATTCAATTTAATATTTGAAGAAATAACAACGTTTTTATAAAAGGTGGAGCCAATGTTACTCTGACAGATCAACTTATTTACTTGAAACATGCTTCAAGAATTGATGATATCTTTATTCAAACTCAATAGATAAAAGAACTTGTCCTTTTTAAATTCTGACAATAAACTTCCTGAAATATTTTTGCCTAATTTTTTAAAATGTCTGACCTTAGTTTATACAGACTTTATTTCAGATTGATTGTATGGAAAGCTATAAGCTTAAGGGCACATTCTTTAATCTATTCCTGGAACTTATCAGTTCTGTGCAAGTTTCTTGCTCAAGGGAACAATGGCTTACCCCTGGGGGATGTGAACCCATTTAGCAAGCAATACTTAGATTCCTAGTCTGAGGAGTGAACCACTTGGCCATGTTGCCACACAACATCTTACCTTTTAGCCTGCATCTTCAGATCACTTCTAGTAGGATCAAAGAAAGACTTCATTTGTTTCTTAGCAATTTTTCTCCATTTTCCCTCATTTTCCTGCAGAATTCTATCCCTTACTTCTGGAACCTTTATACAACAGAAAAAACAAATAAAGATCTTAAAATCTATAAATTAACATTTTCATTTTGCACAACTTTTGTTAAATGAAACCTGCCTGTGATCTGAAGTTACTTTAAAATTTAGACATTAAACGTTAAGTTTATTATATCACCAATCTACAGACTAACATCTCTTTCACCATCACTAGTGTATATCAACATTACTATACAAACTCTATCTTGAAATGCAGCATGACTAGCTCAATGTGGAAATCCTAAACCTCAAATTTGTGAGAAGTCCTAGGCAAGAAAGAAGTTTTTCCAAATTGTTTGACAACAAATGTTTCATTCATCTTTTATCAAATAGAATTTCATGGGGGAAAATTATGCCTTCCTAGAAACTGGGGTATTTATTCAACCCTAGGATTGAGTTAAATATATGTAAGATTTATATGTATAAACAGTAACAGGTTAAAACAGAGGTGATGTAACAGATATCAAATGAATTTTAGTTAAAAAAATTTCATTCATTTTAGTTTAATAGTTAAAGAAGTTATTAAACTAGTTATGACTCTCTCATGATCACAGACACTCTTTATTAACTATTAGATCACTTCTCCACTTAAATGTAGGCAAGTATTTGATCCCATTATTTCATAATCAACATCTTCTTAATTGTTTCCATTTATTTCAATTTCGATATATTTAAGTAAATTTTTGATCAGCATGTATGACAGATCTGGTGTAAATGTTCGGGTATCTCATCCTTGGTTTCATATTCAGTCACACCAAATTAGCAACAATTCATCGGTGTGTTTTACAGTGTATATATAAATATCATACCTGTTCTAGAATAATTTCATTTTTTGGTGGTGGTGGTTCCATCATAGACAAATGTTCAAGGTACCGTTGCATATCCCCTAACATTGGTATCTGGTCTAACATAGGCTCTGTCAAAAATGCTCGTAACTAAACAATAAGTAACATTATTGAATTATGCATCAATCAACAATAATTCAATACTTTCTATATAATGTATTGATACTCTAATATAAGTTCAAAATAATAATCCTAGTTTTAACATAGTACTGAGAGTTTTATCATTTTTGTTTAATTCAGTTTTTAACTAATATCTACACAGCTTAGATCAAATAAAACCTCCATTTCAGGTTATATTGTTGTAGGAAGCCTCACTGCATCATTTCACGCATGAGGGGGCAACTGAGTAGAACCACTGACCTTATCTAAACTACCTGGTCATTAATTGTCTCAATTGGCAATTTAAGAACAATAGATAGTTCAAGCAAACTGACACAAGACTTCTAGCTGAATCAATTTTATAGTCTTAGAAATAAATCATTACTTTTTAGGAAATGTTCACTTCACAACAGCTGATAATTTGTATACTTTAACACAGTGGATATTTTAATTACCAGAGGTTAATTCAAGAAGATACATGTATGTTCAATATGTTTTTTTTATATAGCAACACTTACAATATCTATTCATAATTAAAATAAATTTGTCATCTAAGAAGTGAGTATTGTTTTAATGCTAGCAAATATGAATAAATAAAAACAGTTACCTTAAGTATAGTATTTTTTCTGAATGTATCTAACTCATATTTCTGCTGACAAGCTTGTGACATTAGTAACTGGAATATGGATAACCATACCTGAAAACATAACAATATTTGTTCATTTCCGTCCTTTTTTCATTCATTTGTTTGTTCAATGATTTGTTCAATCATTCATTTGTTTGTTCAGACATTAATTAATTCATTCATTCATCCCATGATTGATTCATTCATCCCTTTCATTCATTCATTTTTCACATTCATTCATTCATTTGTCCCATTAATTCATTCATCCATCAATTTATCCCATTCATCCATCCATCATTCATTCATTCACTCATTCACTCATTTATAAATCTCAGTCAGACTGCACAAAGTGTCTCCTAGGTGATCTGTTTCTTAACTGTGACATGAAGTGAAGTTTCATAGAGTTATGTGACTGAGAGATATGAATGCACTATTTCAATTAACGAATTATTGAAGCTTTATTTAGAATAAAGAGTATATTGTGAATATAAAGACACTTTACCTGTCCTTCTATCTTGGTGATTTTCAGGCTGTCTGCAAAATCTACCTGTGTCCATTTACCATCTATATATTTGTAATTCTTACCTGCCATTAAACAAAAATAAGATAAATATCTATAAAACAAAACAATCCACACAAAGACACTGGTTTCTTTAAATTTGTCAGGAAATAAAACATAATATTTTTACTTTGAAACAAAAAGACTTTAGACCTTTAATTAGCAAATTAAGGGAGACCAATTCAGCAAACTTCCAGCCAGAATATTCACATACAAGCATCTGACCTGAAAACAACTCTGTCTGAACTATAGTGATAAACAAGATTGCATTTGAGAAAAATGCTATGCCACCGCATTAATACAACACTAAATAGTAGTGTAGGAACAGATTTTTTTTGTTTCTATACAATTTTGAAGATTGTCATAAAGCATAGATCCCTGACCTATCTTATTCTTGTTATCAGATTAGTGGTTAAATCTGTTGTTAACTCAATAAAAGATCAGAGTAGGAATATATCAATGCACTCGAGTCTAGTGAATTTGGTGGTGAAGGTCATATTTCACACAGCCTAAATTTCATGACTACATCAAAAGGACAACACAGTAAGACACTTTGTCAAAATCTAGGTCAGCTGAAATCAAAGTTCACTTTACATCTTAATCTGTGCACATGGTTCAAATTTCAAAGCTGTACATCAAAGGACAAGAAAGTAGGTCACATCAACAAAATCTAGGTCACCTGATATCAAAGTTCAATTTTACAACTAAAACTGTGCACATGGTCAAAATTTCAATGCTGTATATCAAAGGACAAGAAAGTAGGTCACTGTCCCCTTGGGCAAGGCAAAATTTTGGACCCAAGGGTTTAATTCAAAACAATCTTGATACAGGTCCACCAAACAACATTTCAAGTCAAATATCTAAGCTGTAGCTTTCTCCCATTCAGAAAACATTTGTTTTATTTTCTGTTTTTACTATGTGTACATAATGAGAATCACTGCCCCCGGGCAGGGACAATTTTGACACCAGGGGAAAAATTTGAACAACTTTAGTAGAGGACCTATGGATGATATTATATAGCAAACATCAAAGCTCTATGCCTTATGCCTCCAGACAAAAATGTTTTTTATTTTTTTTACTATATGTACATAATGAAAATCAATGACCCCCTGGGCGGAACCAATTTTGACCCCAGGGCTATAATTTGAACAATCTTGGTAAAGGTTCACTTCGCAAAGTCTCATGCCATATATTTAACCTCTAGCCTTTGTCAATTCAGAGAAGAAGATTTTTCAATTCAGAGAAGATTTTTACTATATACATATAAGGAAAAATATCGCCTCTTTGGCAAGGCAATTTTAACACTAGGGGCATAATTAAAACAACTTTAGTAGAGGACCCATAGATGATATTATATACCAAATATCAAAGCTCTAAGCCTTGTACCGTCAGACAAGAGGATTTTTTATTTTTTTACTATATGTACATAGTGAAAATAAATGACCCCTGGGGGTGGGGCCAATTTTGACCCCAGGGCTATAATTTGTACAATCTTGCTAGAGGTTCACTACATAATGTTTCATGCAAAATATCTTAACTCTAGTCTTTGTAAATTTAAAGAAGATGATTTTTTAAGTTTTTACTATATACATACATGTATAAGGAAAACCTATGGCCCCCGGGGTGGGGCTAATTTTGACACTAGAGGCAAAATTTGAACTTTGGAAGAGTTCCTACAGATGATATCATTTAACAAATATTAAAGCTCTAAGCCTTGTACCTTCAGACAATAAGATTTTTTACTATATATATATTGAAAATCAATGACCCCTGGGGCGGGGGCAATTTTGACCCCAGGGCTATAATTTGAACAATCTTGCTAGAAGTTCACTTCACAATGTTTCATGCAAAATATCTAACCTCTAGCATTTTGTCAATTGCTAGAAGAAAATTTTTTAAAGTTTTTACTAGATACATATAAGGAAAACCAATGACCCCCCGGGCGGGGCCTACTTTGACCCCAGGGCTATAATTTGAACAATCTGGGTAAGGGTCTACCAGACAATGCCTTATGCAAAATATTTAAGCTCTAGGCCTTTTGGGTCTTTACAAGAAGGTATTTTAAGTTTTTACTATATGTGCATATAGTGAAAATCAATGACCCCCTGGGGCGGGGCAGATTTTGACCCCAGGGCTATAATTTGAACAATCTTGGTAAGGGTCTACCAGACAATGCCTTATGCAAAATATCTAAGCTCTAGGCCTTTTGGGTCTTTACAAGAAGGTATTTTAAGTTTTTACTATATGTACATATAGTGAAAATCAATGACCCCCGGGGCAGGCTGATTTTGACGCTAGGGCTATATTTTGAACAATCTTGGTAGAGGTCTACCAGACAATGCCTTATGCAAAATATCTAAGCTCTAGGCCTCAATTTTGGGTCTTTACAAGAAGGTATTTTAAGTTTTTACTATATGTACATATAGTGAAAATCTATGACCCCCGTGGCCGGGCCAATTTTGACCCCAGGGCTTTAATTTGAACAATCTTGGTAGAGGTCTACCAGACAATGCCTTATGCAAAATAGCTAAGCTCTATGCCTTTTGGGTCTTTACAAGAAGATTTTTTAAATTTATTCTTTTAATTCCTTTTGGTTGCCATGGCAACCAGATTTCTCAATGGAATGAAATTCTTTGAACAACTTTGGAACCCCTTCACCCAAGGATCAATCCTGCCAAGTTTGGTTGAAATTGGACTAGTGGTTTTTCACAAGAAGATTTTTTAAGTTCACTATATAATCTATATAACACACACACACACAAACAAACAAACACACACACACACATACACACAGGTGAATCGCTATATGCCACCGCATCGCAGATGCTGCGGTGGCATAAAAAGAATAATTAAGTCATCAAGCATTCTTAAATACAAAAAGAACTCACCATCTTTTCTATGGCTCCATGGAGGGTTTTCTACAAGCTGTACCAGTAACAAAGGTACATCATGAGTGTTTAATATCCTTGTCATAACACTTAAAGGAAGTCTGCAAAACAATCAATAATTTCTACATCAATATAGTAGTAAATCACAGAATTTTTTTTTTTTTTCATGCTTACCTAAATGTATGCACAGACATATAAACAGACAGATGGACGATAGAGAAGTGATCCCTATATGTTACTCTGTAGCAGGTGACGGATTAAAGCACTGACAGTACACACTCAGATCCTCAGGCTCACCTGTGCTGTCTGATCATGGTCTGCACTGTTCGCTATTCAGATTGAAAGATGGACTAGTCCATTTAAGATTTAGCAGGTTAACAGTTAACATGATAAACATTAAAAAAATCTTTTTAACTATACATATAATTGTTACTACATGTACTTGAAACTGTTCATTGTTCAGTTAAACATTTAACAGACCACAGTTTACTCTATGTGACACACAGTCTAATTTACAAGTACTTCTGCCATCATTACAGGAAGTAAAGACCTTTCACTATCTATACTAGTTAAAAACTGTTATATACAATGTATATCAAATATAGATAATAAATACATGTATAACTCTTTCAATGACTAACACAGAAAGATTCATCTCCCTTGAAGGCACTTAATGATATAAATACATGTATAAATATCATTGCTGCAATTTTTTCTCAACATTTAACAAGGTTAAGTAGCAGTAGGTCAGACTTTAGAAGTATGTCACACAGACTGGTTATGTATTTATATACTGTAAATATACAAAACTTTGAGACAGTGTAAAATTTGTATGTTAATCATGCCCAAATAAAACTGTGATGCAAATAATTGGAGAAATGTCTTTATATTTTGGATATCCCTTTATACAAATCAAATAGAAAAGAGAGCTTATTTTCAGGTCCTCTCACAGACTTATTTATCAGACCAGAAACAAAAATAGACTTTTAAACAAGACCTCAATAAGTTTGATCAAAATTTACTAGGTAATGTTTGGAGATGTACCCTTAGCTTGCTGGCAGCTACAGATCATAACCATGTGACCAGTGCAGACCAGGGTCAGTCAGTACACCTGTACTGTACCTGTACTGTATGATCAATGGTCTGAACCGTTTGCTATTCAGTCATTATAAAATATTCCTTTAACTTGACCAATTGTTTTATCCAAATTAAAAAATGGACAAGTCAATTACAGATGTTAAAGCCAATTCAGTATATTATTGAAACTAAAGGAGATATATCAATTTAACCCAATTTTTTTTCTAAAATTGGTTAACTGCATTATTTGCAAACAAATAATTGACATAAAAAATCATCACATTGAAATTAAATACCAAGCTTTTATGTTTTATTTGAATAAAAAATATGATAAGTAAAATAAGTTTTACTCAAATACTGTTACAATGATTATCTTCAAATACCCCTCATTTATAAATGACCATTATGTATAAAATGTAACTTGACCTAAGTGTAATGTACAATACATTAACAATGGTCAGCTTGACCCAGACTATATAAAAATGTAGACAGAACAATTTACCTCCCAATTACATATAACTATGTCAGTTACAAAAAATGTGCAAGTCAGGAATTTAAAAAGACCAGTGAAAAATTAAGGATTTACCTTAAATAAATGAAAAAGGATTATCAATGTATTGTTTTCGTAAGTAAATATTTTATAATATATTATACCAATATAATTAAAACACATAAACCTTCAATGTAGAAATGAAACTCTTTCAGAAATTTTTTAAATAATCATATTAAATAAATATTGTAATAAGAGAACTTATTTTCAGTTACGATTTCAAACATTGTTGTACAAAGAATATTTCATAGTCACTGATGCAGTAGCACAGAGCAGTGACTGACATGACTGCATGGCTGAGATAAAACATGAATGCATGGCTGAGATAAAAACATGAATGCATGACTGAGATAAAGTCAGGAATTCATGGCTGAGATAAAAACATGAGTGCATGGCTGAGATAAAAACATGAATGCATGACTGAGATAAAACATGAATGCATGGCTGAGATAATAACATGAATGCATGGCTGAGATAAAAACATTGATGCATGGCTGAGATAAAACATGACTGCTTAGCCGAGATAATAACATAAGTGCATGGCTGTGATAAAAACATAAATGTTTGGCTTAGATAAAAACATGAATGCATGACTGAATTCATGACTGAGATAATAACATAAGTGCATGACTGAGATAAAACATGAATGTATGGCTGAGATAATAACATGAATGCATGACTGAAATAAAAACATGAATGCATAGCTGAGATAAAACATGAATGCATGACTTAGATAGTAACATGAATGCATGGCTGAGGAACTAACATGAGTGCATGAATGACATCATAACATGAGTGCATGAATGAGATATTTAAATGAATGTACAGTTGTGATAACATTAATGAATGACTGAAATAATAACATGAGTACCGTACATCAAGTCATGTTAAAGAATGAATACTTTTAATAAAATATATCTCTGTATTTACTGTACTATCCTCAAAATTTAGTCACTTATATATACATGTATTTTATTATCATAATTATGTTTGAACATGATGTATACATTATTATATATACTGTCTATCAGTATTGCTGCATTCCTCACAAGCATATACTAATCAGGGTGACTATGCCACAAGTGAAGGATGAAAGTAACAAGAGCTCATGTTCTCCAATAAAAGCATTCCACTCTGCTCAATGCTGGATAGTAAACTAAACAGTTTCTATATCAGGGTTCCCACAAAGAAGAGAAATCAAAATTCCCTGACTTTTCCCTGACCAAAACCATTTTTCCCTGACCAATAACAGCGTCAAGTTTGCACAATCTTAGAGCATTAAATGTATTTTTTATACATGTATTTCGACCTCCTCCTCCCCAAACAGCCAACCTATTTTCTCCAATTCTTTATTTTAAATTATTCAAGATAAAAAATACATGAATATTAGTGAGCAATTGTCATAAGCAACTTGTCTTGTTTACTTTCAACAAGTATGAGTAAATTTATCCAAAATGTAAAGTATTTGATAGTACATGTTATGCTGAAAGATGTTTCATTCTCTTACAAATGCAAAGCAGTGTAATCAATGCAGGATTGACTAAAACAGGCCTGTATTTTAATAAAATATATGATAGTTATCAATGGAAAACTGGTGTTGGACAAGAAACAATAAGACAGGTAATGAAGTGGCTACATTAAAAGCAAAATGCAGTAAAAGCTTGTAATACTACTAATAAAACTAGCTATGGCAGTTAGTATTTCAAAGTTATGGTTTAATGCATGTGTGCAAAAACACAACATGGCACTAAAATTATTGGTACTTAATCGAAGTCCACTAAGTGTTTTTCTCAAGTTTCTCAATATCTTTACTTGATTCTTTTATTACTTTTCTTTGACCTTGACCCTGAAGGCATTGCACTTGGCATTTTACTTCACAAGCAAGTTCATTTTCATATTTTTCAGCCTCCTGAGCAGATTATCAGCCTCTTTCACACGAACAAACCATAAATAACTCAGGAGACAAGGGATGCTTAAACTCCGAATGTAGGACAAAACCCCACCAGTTAAAACCCCACCACTCAAAATTTTATAGATTGGACAAAACCCCACCACTGAATTTTATAGAGTGGACAAAACCCCACCACTATATTTTACAGAGTGGACAAAACCCCACCACTTCAGTTTTATAGAGTGGACAAAACTTTCTTGTAAACATGTTAAAAAAACAAACAATTGCGCATCAGCAGAAACTCAAAAGAATGTGTGAACAACTCATCAATAAGGAGAAGACTGTACCTGAGCTTCTTTAGGCTAGCGGCCACTGTATCCGCTTAAACTAAGTACAATGAAGGAAAATAGACTCAACTGAATAAACTAGAAATGTGCTATACAAAATGTGCTATCATTAATTGATGAAAATGTGCTATATTCTTGATTAATAGTAAGTAGTTTATTTTTTATATAAATAAATTGAAGAAATGAATTTGAAGAAACTAATAATAATGGATAATTCAAGGTCATAAATGTGGCACAGTCTCATATAAACGACTACTCTTTGATGTTGATTTAAAACAGTTTGTAAATTGTTTGTATAATCTCATTCATTATATTATATTGCTATTGAAATAAATGCTATATGCTATAATTATCATGTTTTGTTCTTTAGGGATTTAGATTTTATTTGTGTGTACAGATTGAAACACCTTTTTTGCAATCAAAACATCAATAAATAATCTGTTTTGTTCTTCAGGGATTTGGATTAAGTTTTTTGTGTACAGTTTGTACACCTTTTTTGCATATTGCACATGCAAGATGTAAATGCATTGTTAATAAAATTGTTCATTCTTATATTACACAAATGTTATATTGAACTTTAAAAAAAATGTGAAAAAAATGTGTATATTATATATATTTTAATTCATCAAATCTTGCCCAATAATTGGTGCATTGTGTAAGTGGTGGGGTTTTGTCCACTCTGTAAAATTTAGTGGTGGGATTTTGTCCACTCTATAAAATTAAGTGGTGGGGTTTTGTCCACTCTATAAAATTTTGAGTGGTGGGGTTTTAACTGGTGGGGTTTTGTCCGTCTTCCTTAAACTCCTTTTAGCTTCTTTCTTAATAAGATAGTTACTAATAATGACAAAAATATCCAGAATCTTCAGGCAGAAGCATTATCATTTTAAGAGTAAAAAAATATAAAAATAAAACAGATGCTCATAATCAAAAATAACAATAAAGATACCCAAAATGATGGAAGAAACTGCCTTAGCTTTTACTGATTTTGCTTCTTGCTGTTTCACAAAAACACTATTTTCTACACAATTCCCTGACTTTTCCCTGACTTTTGCTTATTTTTCAAATTTCCCTGACCAATTTCAAAATTCCCTGACTTTCCCTGACCTTGAAAAAAAATCATTTTTTTCCTGACTTTTCCCTGACCGTGGGAACCCTGTATATAAAGAGATAAAAAATTTAAAAAAGAATACATGTTACAGGTCACACTAACTAACCTTCCATCATTCAATGTCTTAATACTAATACATGTACTTGCAACTAAAATCTGTGCCAGAACAAGCCATGCCTTATTGATACTAAGAAGACTTTGACCTCAAAAGTCTGTAAAATTGATGGCCCATGAGAAGGGTCAATTATTGACTGAAAGTGTATTATTTCAACATTTTTCTTTAGTGTAAGGTAAATAGTAATATATATAATAAACTTACCCCTCTAGATGGTCAACAATATATCTTAACATTGATACAGCTTTAATACAGATCTCAAAATTCAACTTTCTGTCCTGCTTTTCCAGTTCCTAAAATATAATCACTATACTGGAGAAGATCAAGTATTTAACTTAAACTGTTAATTTTTTTAAAATGGGTGTTATTTTTGCAGGATATCTTTTTTAAAACTGTGGGCAAATCAAGATGAAATTTGATCAGCTAAAAGTATTGTATGGTTTCTCTGACATTGTTTGGAAAATCATTCTTAATATACTAAGGATGAAATACATGTATAAATGAACATAAAATATGAAAAAGACTATCCCACTCTTTTTAAAATTGAATGTTGTAGGTAAATTCCGATTGATATTTATAGAAACTTCATTGGGCCATGAGAGAAGTTTATTGTTCATGCAAAGTATAATTTTATAAAATTGAAAGCCATTATGGCAAAATGTAAAAACTTATATTGACTTTCACCTGTTCACTCACAATATACCCTTGGACAGGCATAATGCCATTTTAATCAATCAAGTGAGCCGCATCATGACATAACCAACATAGTGGGTTTGCGACCAGCATGGATCCAGACCAGTCTGCGCATCCGCGCAGTCTGATCAGGATCCATGCTGTTCGCTATCAGTTTCCCTACTTGAAATAGAGTTATATTTACCTCCATGTTAGAAGCATTAGCCATAGCAGACACAGACTGTGTGGCGTCTAACTCAAGATCTTTCTCCTCCCCACTTTCTTCACTTCTACAATATACATGTATATCTATAGTTAATCTATTGTTAGATATAAACACTGAATTAAAATCTGTCACAATACTTTTTAAAGAAACTGAAATCTACAACCTTTTACCAGTAAGTTTCCATTCTTTAAAATTATCAACTTAACTCAAGTATTCATGTAAAGTTTGTGAGTCACATCAGAGTAAGTTTAGACAAAATGTATAACATTCTTTTTGTTTGTGTAAAATCTTTATAAGTGACATTATGCTCATTTTTATCTTTATTTAAAATGAAATTTAATTTTTAATGCTCATTTTTATCTTTATTTAAAGTGACATTATGCTTATTTTTTGGTGTCAAGCTTAATTACATTGAAATTATATATTTCAAAAGACTTACTATGAAATCAGTGACTGATTGAAAATGAAAAATGCTTATGATACACTATAAAAACAAAAAACAACCTCAATAATACAAAGACTGCCCCACTCTTTTTAAGAATTGAGCGTTACCAATATGTTCTGAAATATCTGTTAATGATAGTTCAACATACCGTGCTATAAGTTGTGTTACTTTATAAAAGATCAATATGTGTAATTGGCAATAAGTTGTGTTAGTTTATGATAGCAATTATGTGTTTACCTACCTATAAGTGTAAGTTTATGACAGCATTAATGTATAAACATAGCTTTAAGCTGTGTTAGTTTATGATAACAGTAATGTGTATACCTGACTATATGTTGTGTTAGTTTACAATAACAGTATTGGTATACCTGACTATATGTTGTGTTAGTTTACAGTCACAGTAATGTGTATACCTGACTATATGTTGTGTTAGTTTACAGTCACAGTAATGTGTATACCTGGCTATAATTGTGTTAGTTTACGATAACAGTAATGTGTATACCTGGCTATAATTGTGTTAGTTTACGATAACAGTAATGTGTATACCTTGCTATAAGTTGTGTTAGTTTACGATAGCAGTAATGTGTAGGCCTATACCTGACTTTATGTTGTGTTAGTTTACAGTCACAGTAATGTGTATACCTTGCTATAAGTTGTGTAAGTTTGTGGTAACAGTAATGTGTTTACCTGGCTATAATTGTGTTAGTTTATGATAACAATAATGTGTATACCTTGCTATAAGTTGTGTTAGTTTCTGACAACAGTAATGTGTATGCCTGGCTATAAGTTGTGTTAGTTTACGATAACAGTAATGTGTATACCTAGCTATAAGTTGTGTAAGTTTACAATAACAGTAATGTGTATACCTGGCTATAAGTCGTGTTAGATTACGATAACAGTAATGTGTATACCTAGCTATAAGTTGTGTAAGTTTACGATAATAGTAATGTGTATGCCTGGCTTTAAGTTGTGTTAGTTTATGATAGCAGTAATGTGTATACCTGGCGATAATTGTGTTAGTGTATGGTAAAAGTTATGTGTATACCTGGCTATAAGTTGTGTTAGTTTACGATAGCAGTAATGTGTATACCTGGCTATAAGTTGTGTTAGTTTATGATAACAGTAATGTGTATACCTGGCTATAATTGTGTTAGTTTATGACAAGAGTAATGTGTATACCTGGCTATAAGTTGTGTTAGTTTATGATAACAGTAATGTGTATACCTGGCTATAAGTTGTGTTAGTTTATGATAGCAGTAATGTGTTTACCTGGCTAAAATTGTGTTAGTTTATGGTAAAAGTAATGTGTATACCTGGCTATAAGTTGTGTTAGTTTACGATAACAGTAATCAACAAGGTCAAGGATGGAATCTTCTGCTGCCTCACAAACTTCACGATAAAATAAAGTTGTCTCCAATAGATTGGCCACTGTAGCTTCATGATAGAGCTGTCAATACAAATTATGTGAGATATAAAACCTTTCTTTCACAGCAATCAACATGGAACATATTTAGAAGTTTTCTACAACAGAAGATAACATTATTTTTTATTTCAAATTATTAATTAACATTATTTTTTTAACTTTGCTATAAATTTTGTTTAAAATCAAGAATCATTTTATTATAACACTATTATTCTTTTTATTAAATGAAGTAAAATTGGTATCTCATATTAAGTTGTATGTAGCTTCAGATGTAAGCTAGACTTACTGCCATGTATAGAGGGAAGGTTGTTTTGGGTTCAAATCCTTCAGTGTCCATAATTTCTGTAAATACCTTTTCCTTCCATACCTCTGTCATCAGTAGATCATATATCAGTAATGTTAGCTGAAAACACACAAAAATATCTAATATAGATCACAATAAATAAAATGTTTCTTTCTTTAAACTGACTACATGTATTAACATAATTAAATATGTAGTTACATAATTATACAAAGAAGAGACAGCAAAACAGATAAAATATCTAATATGGACCAAAATAAATAAAATGTTTTTTTCCTTTAAATTGACTACATGTAGTTACATATATAAAGCTGGGGCAGTAAAATCAGTTGTCCGTATTGCCCAGGTCGTCCCACAGTCTGTACAGACAAGTGGAAACGTTCTAGAATTTACTATATAAATATCAATCGGACAAGTTAAGGCATGTTTTACATAAAAGCAGACAAGTCAAATTCAGATTTTATCCACCCTGCAAAGTTGTTTATTATATATGAACCGCGTCATGACAAAACCAACGTAATGCGTTTGCGACCAGCATGGATCCAGACCAGCCTGCGCATCCGCACAGTCTGATCAGGATCCACGCTGTTCGCTATCAGTTTCTCTACTTGTAATATAGTTGGTAAACGAACAGCATGGATCCTGATCAGACTGCGCAGGCTGGTTTGGATCAATGATGGTTGCAAACGCATTATTTTGGTTTTGTCGTGATGCGGCTCATATTTAGTCAGACACAGGGAGCAACGTTTCTCCTTTATTAGATATATAAAGAAAGCATTATGTTACCTTGTCACAAGAGATGAGAAAATCTTTAATGAATTCATCTTCCTGAGCCGAGGCATTTATAACAGCTTGCATGTTCAGTCTCTCCATCACTTCATGTTGTGCTGACCATCTAAATATCATAGAAAAAACATAACCTAAAATTAGCCAAAAATTTTCAAAGTGCAAAAAGGGCCAAAATTCAGTAAAAATCCATGTGAGAATTATGGGCCTTGGAAAGACACCTCTGGTCATGATCCAAAGTGATGTAATTAGTTTCAAGTGAATACCTACAGTAGTTTGTAAATCATAGTAGAATGTTGTTCAAATGCTTAGAATAGTTAGATCTTTTTTTAGCCAGATATAACTTTTTGACGTTTAGGAACACTTTATTGCCTTTTTATAAGGATAATGATGTTCCTTTGAAATAAGTACTTCTTGTAAAAAATCTCATTGACAATATTCCGACTGCAAGACAGATAGATTTTACAAACTGATATGACTTACATGTGTGAAGAAGGGTCATTGTATATAAATGTAACAAAAAGCTTGACACACAATTTGTTGAGCTACTTCTTGTATTACTTGTATTATGTTTATTTCCAGTCTGAAGTTTTAACAACATTACAATAAACTGGTTATTATTTAAGTTAATCAAATGTAAAATACTTTCCATATATATATCAAATCTTTGCGGAGTCCCAAGATTTAATATTCAGATTTTTTTTTTAGATGATTGAACGCTTTATCTTTTTTTTAACATCATCAGAAAGGTCATTCCAAATAGAAATAATTCTAAATAGACAATTTGTTCAGTAACTTGTACCTAAGAATTAAGACATACAACTTTTGCTGATTTAAGTTTCACAAGTTTTAGATTGTGTCCACTAACTCCACTTACTAATCTCAATTTCCAGCAAAATTAAATATTTTCATTTAGAGCGGCTGGATTAACGCTTGGAATAGACCAATGCTCAGCGCAAACATAATGATTGAGATAATATCTTATTAAATAAAAACACACAAAAGTCATATAACACTGAACCTTTATAAGATAAACTTATAAAAAAAAATTTAATAGAATTTGTTAGGATTTTGCCTTCAGCATCAAGGTCTTCCACTGATGATGCGTACAGTGTTCAATCTAGACAGTGCCATTGCGCCTATGGCACTCCAAATTTCAAATAGATACAATTTATATATTGGGCCTGTTGGATGCAATCATCGAGTTAAGAAAATGCGTGAAAAAACATGATGTTGTTTTGGACTGATTCCATTTCGCTATCTCGCTGTCACAAAGATTCAAGTTAAAGACTGCAGGTTATATGTTTATAATAGCTAAGGAAAATCGGAAACCAAGGCAATATTTTGGGGTATGTATAAAACACGCATTATCTTAACTCTAATCATTGATGGAAGCATAAATGGAATGCTCCCATCAGTGGTTTAAATGGTGAGTAATTTAGACATGTGTGAAATCTGCTTTGCTTCTGATTTTCTTTTTTGAAATGTAAACATATTGATTATATACATGTCATTTCTAGTAAATTCTAAAAGGGAATCAAATCAAGCATTCAAATAAAGACACAATACATGACTGTATCATGATAACAAAATTGGTATTAAAATTTGACATTTACATACATGTACATGTTTTTTGTTCAATTTCTATGCCTGGCCCGAAATTTTTTAAGTTGGCCCCATTTTCAGGGCATGCTAGTGGGCCCACTTCCAGGCACAGCTAGAGTTAACACTGTAATTCACCAAAATAATATATTGACAAAAAAGTTTCGAATAGAAACAATATTTCAAAATTCAGTGTTGCCCTATAAGTCTAAAGATATGTTGAAATAATTACCATGGAAACCGAAATAAAGCTAATAGCTTTTAGAAGAAAATACTTACAATGGGCCCCCAATATCCTTTATAGTAAACTGTTTTAAAGATTCTACACATCCCTCAGCTTCAATTGGCATTAATACCTGGCTAGCACCCTCCGATCCCATTTTTAATGCTGAACAAAATAAAATGTATCGACACGCGAAAACTTGTTCCAATTTGTAACGGTGTAAGCGTGAGAAATTACATGCGTGATAAACATAAATTTACATAGGGAAATAGCGGCGCAAATTTAATTACAACGTCGTCCGTTTAAAATATAATGTGATAAAAATATTTAAAAAAAAACGGCTTTATTTATTAATTTATTTATTAATTAATTAATTAATTAATTAATTTATTTATTTATTTATTTATTTATTTATTTATTTATTTATTTATTTATTTATTTATTTAATATTCATTTAGATTTATTTTGCATAACGCAGGAGGGTCTTTCTATTTGAAAAACCCTGACCAACACCGACACCCTTATTTCAGTGAATGAAGACTCGAATCGATTATTTTAAAGCTGCATGAATGCAAATCATGACATGAATTGTGAATATGTTTACTTTCCTTAAATTGTTAGTATATTTTTCACAAAACTGTTTTTCTTAAAATTATTACCATCTTTTTATATGCTATGAATGTCTTATTTTGCGGTATTTATCACCATATTTCTACTGCGTGACTAACGCAGTAAAGGCCATTTTTTCATAATTTGACCTTATATGGTTATTTACGTTGACTGAAAGCGTATAATGTGTAAATTATTTCTTTGTTCACTTGACAATATTTTTTTTTTGATACTGATACATTCTCATAATTTCTATGAACATAAGCATGAATCTGACGACATGGTGCTTTAATATTATATTAGCCATGACAGTGTACCAGGTCATCCTATTTTATAAAGAAATCTAATATTTCCTCCTCATATCATTTATGTAAATTGATGTATTAAAACAATTTTACAAAAGCAATCTCAAAACATAGTTAGCTTTTATAGGAAGTATATCTACATTATTAATCAAAGCGACATACAAAAGAGGCAATAATTCACGTGTAATGATTTGTTAATATATACATGTGTATCTTCATTCACCCGTAACCTTCAAAAGAGTATGTAACATTACAGGATACTTAATCTGACTTTATTTCACGTGCCCTTTATTATAGTAACCTATTTTTTGTCAGACACAATATGACCTGAAATGCCCCTGTTTGGGTTCATCAAAAGGTCAGCTTTTTATTATCGTCTGCATATTTATAAATATTTTAAGAGAGAAAACATAGATTGACAAAGAATGTTTAATAGCGTCTGCATTAATACAACAAATTGATTGTGAAATACTTATATCTGGTCACTATTTGGATTGTATTTATCGTACTTAAAGAAATTTTGCAGGATTTAACCAAAACGTGAAGGCTGGAAGGAACTTTATTGTATTGTGTAATTTAATTTTAAAACACGTATGTCATATAATTATTTATATTTTTACATCTTTAAAATATATGTTTATCAGGCACATATGGATAGGGTCATGTCTAAACATAGTACATCTGACTAAAGCATAGAATTAGTCAATTCTATATCCTACATAAAAAGGCGTTCGTTTTATAATTCACAGCTATTTGACTTCGATGAATAGCAAAATGTGCACTCCGTGATCTTACGATAAATTTGCCCTGGCATCAGAGGCTTACGGTTCAATAAACCAGGGTCTTTGAAATAGTTAAGGTTTTAGGTAGAACACTCATGGTAAAAGATCTGCTCACTGCTCATGTATTTTTGTCTACGAACCTTTGGTTTTCAAATGTGTCTTTATTTGATCGCTTGCTTCCACGAGGATGCATGTTACATTTAACTCTTTCAGTCCATGATAATGCAGCTTGTTTGATCATCGTGTGTGCATTCTTTCTCAGGTTGAAACGAGGCCAACACAATGACATTGAACCTGTCACGTGATGACCGTTCAGTGACCAGGTCAAGATGAAAATTGAGCCATCGTCTGCTTCTACAAATAAATTCTGGTATATTTTCTGTATTTATAATGCTTAAAATCTAGATACATGTAATTAAAGTTCACCATTTAAATGCCTTAAAAAGTTTGAGAACAATTTTAGAATATTTAATCTAAATACATGTATGATGGAATATTTTTAATCGTTTTCTTAGTGGCTCCTCATTCAGTTGACAGAGTTGATATTTGTTTATTATGTTTCATATTATATGCATGTTTGTTTGTTATTTTGTTTGTTTGTTTGTTATTTTATTCAAGTTTTTATGAGTTAATATGTGTTTCTTTAAATACATTTTCAGTTGTTATTATGCATCTGATATACAGTAATTCTATTTATCTATTTCAAATTATTTGAATGTGAGCAATTGTTTAATCAAGATTGTGTTGGATGTAAATAATTATTATACTAATTTCAAGGACCAGATGGAGAGTGTTTCTGGTGGTAATATTTCCAGTTATTGTCGGTTTATGCTTACAATTGAGTCCAATAGACCCCATTCCCTACACGTAAGTATACATGCAATAAAGTGTTTATTTTTCAGCATTTATTGCATTTATTATGTTACATTTTGTATCAATAAAATGCAAATAAAACAATTATAATTTGTGAGTTTATTAAGGATATTTTCGATGTTTTGTTAAAAATAGGCGCTTAACGGCCTCATTCCTTAACGGCACACGAAGCCACATAAGTAAATACTTTTCTTCTTAAGAAAGGGTAAACACGTGTTTTGTTCCAGTTTAATAATGAATTAATTATGGATTAAAAGTTTTGTCATAAAATAGCAAAATGTAAACATAGTGCTTTTTTTTACCAAAATGCAAAATAAGCATGGTTCAACTATATTGTCAATGTGTAACGTTTTGGAAACTGTAAAAAAAAAACACCAAAAGAAAACAAGTACAATAAAATGCAGACAGTGCTCCGACTCGTACAAAGAATATGGGATTAAGTTTTGCTCCCTGCTGGGATAAAAACCAGAAAGACTGTACAGACAGGTTTACACACACCTCCATTTATGCTCATCCATTCATAAAAGATTGGGGACTGCTATATGAATCAGAAAAAATCTTATTTTCAAACCTGTATTTGTAATAAAATTTTTTATCTGACACTAAATGAATATATATATATATATTTATGAATTTAAAAGTTATTTATATGTATGAATGGCAGGTTTCCAAGGCCTCTACCACGGCTAGAAGGAGGTTTAAAGAGAAACAATTTACTACAGCAAGCAGAGAGATGGTTTGAAGGTGCATTGGTTGGTCCAGAATCATTTGCTTTTGATAAAAATGGCAAGTATACGTGGCAAGAATGAAACCATAATTATATTTGTTTAGACAAAGTTCTAATGACATGTAAAAAATTTATTTTAGTCTTTTGAACATTGTGGCAAATTGGAGTTGCATACACATTGTATACATGTAGGTAGTCTGTGCTTAATGAAGGTCCAGCTGTCCTCGCATGCACTGAGAGTTAGATCCCAACATATACATATACATACGGAATATTATGTTGTAGTAGCTTTCTGAGACCAGCAGCGTTGGAAAATTGATGTCTCGCGAGACCAAAGGTCGAGTGAGATGTCAATTTTCTATACAAAGCCTCAGAGAGCTACTACAACACAACTTTCCTTTTATTATATACCTAATCGTTTTAAGTATACGTAGAAAGGAGTTTCTATATACTTCACTTCTATTCGTTATTTCAGAAAATGAAAAATAAATTCATAAATGACGGATGAATACGTAATTTTTGCTTAACCGGCCACGCCTTTAATAATTTTAGTTTTCGTTTCGAAATGCAACGTTATAACGTTACAAAGCTGAGATCGGAACCAACGTCAAAAATAGTCCGACACTACCGTATTTGTCACTATCATAATACGGAATTTTCTATTCGTTGAAGCGTATTCGCGCTTCAAGATTTGCGTGTATTTTAGGAAGTATATAATAAATATAATTATGTATATTTACACTGTTATACGCTTTATATATATGTATTCATTTTGTGTGTATTCCACATAAGTTAACGAATGTTTAGTACCGTTGAATTGATCAGTACTTCATGTATATTGAGTGACGTCTGTCTTAAATGTCTCGCTCACTACCATCAGTGTTTTGTTTTGCTCTAACTTGTACTTTAGTGTTGTGTTCCCCGTTCAAGTTGTATTTTTGTCAGCTAAGAATATGTTTTTATTTAAATGCTGCTTTAAATTTGTTTTGTTGTCGTTGTATAAGTATTCACTCTCTTTTCATTTGAACAAACTAACATTTATTATACAAACAATTTTACAGGAACAATTTACACTGGCACTGCAGATGGTAAAATATTTTCTATAAGTAAGACCAAGATTTCTCTCATCGCTAGAACTGGTTTAGATCATCCACAGTGCGGCAGTGCTAAGTTTGAACCAGTATGTGGTCGACCAAAGGGAATGAAAGTTGGACAAGACAACAAACTGTATTTAGTTGATTCTTATAAAGGGCTTCTGCGTATAAGTTTGGATACCGGAAATATAGAAATACTTGTTTCAAATGAAGAAGGTATTTATGGTTTAATAATCATATTGTTAATATCATTTAATATACATAAACTTCACATCTAGGTACATAAAACCATTATCTTCCGTATACAAGTCTACTTTATCCTGTTAAAATATATTCCGCATAAATATTTCAATCTACCTAACATCAAATTAGTGACGTCATCGTACTATTTTCATGATATTCACATTAACTAAAAATAGTTAATGTTAAAAGTTCAAATAGAATCATTTCACATTAACAGTTACGGTTTCAGATCCGAATTTGCACCTGTAGGAATCAACTTTGTATCACTTTCATTCATTTTAGAAGATTTCAAGTACATGTATAAGCAAATTTACCTTTTTTTTTTAGATTTTTCTATCTTTAGCGGCATTTTGGTCCACATATAAAACCCCATTGCATAGTTAGAGGTATCACGTTCACATATGATTTCATTTTTGACCTATTCAATTAACAAAGTGACTTTACGTTTCACATAATAATTGCTTTTAACATTTTTTTTTTATCTTTTGAACATAAAATAAATACCCCTTTTCACAGAATCAAGAATGGCACATCTACCAATGATAATTTGATAATTTTCATCTTAACCCATTCATTTTTAAAATTTCTGAACATTTTGATTAAAAACACACTAAGAAAAAAACTTTGATTTATCCTATCCTCTCACACCCTCAGCGAGTATCTTTCCCTGGGCCAAAGGGTGCTTGTTTATTTATCAAGAAGACAGAAGCAAACCAAATGCTGCGTCTTAGAAAATACCCACATACATGTGAATACTATAAATAGCAATATAACACGAGGGCGATTTCATGATATATTTCATATTATGATTCCCTTCATTTAGTCAAATATTCAACTATTTTGTCTTTATTATTTAGAATTAAATTTCCATATAAAACATTTGTTATAACATTTGCTATAACATATATAAAACAATCTCTGCATTCCATGGAAACGAAATCATTTTAAACAGGTTTTAAATCATTCACATGTAGGAATATGTAATTACCAACGCAATCATGTATTTCAGGAAGTGAAGGAACGCCATTCCGATTTTTGAACAGTATGGATATGTCCAGTGATGGTCTTATATATTTTACAGACTCTTCTAGCAAATGGCAGCGTCGCGATTTTCGATATGCGGTAATTATAATCTATGTATTTACTTGTTTAACTTTATCAATCAATCAATCGATCGATCGATCGATCGATCGATCAGTCTCAGTCAGTCAATTAAACGGACAGACCCTGCAACATTTTCACTCGTATCTTTCTGGTCAAGATTTTGTACATCCCACTTGCATATGACCAGCCTAGTTTTCTTTTTCAATTCGCTGTGTTCCTTGTATGACACGTTAGAAGAAGAGTAACATAAATGTAGGGCCGCAAACAAAAAACAACTAAAAATAAAAATAAAAAAATAAAAAAATTCCCCTAAGTTGTGTTTTTTCTATAGCAGACCTTATTTCTGTGACTTGGAATACTTTAGAAATAAGGGTACATAAATCTAGATAAAACAGAAAACGAATAACTTTACTTGTAGAACTCGAATTGAACTTTCAGACACAGGTTTGTATTGTATTAATGGCAGACTGACATATTCGTTATTTGTTTCAATAACTTTATAATTGGCTTTTAAGGTATTAGAGACAAGGCCAGATGGGCGTGTCCTCGAGTATAATATACAGACGGGAATATGCCGAACTTTACTCTCGGGGTTATACTTAGCTAATGGTATTTCTTTATCCAAAGAAGAAGATTTCCTTCTAATTGCAGAAATGAGTGTTGCAAGACTACGCAGGTACATTATACTACAATTCTTGAAAATATTTAATACACGCCATAAGTTTCTTTATAACTGTCTGCGCAACAATACTAACATTCTTTCATTAAAATGTATTTAAATGTAAATGTGCATATTTCATTTGATTTGTAATTAGATTTATGTTGCTGTTTAATTTCTTTTCTATCAAAATAAAATTAAATCATAATGTTCAATTATCTTCTACAATTAATTTGTTCACTTGTTACTTAGGAAAAAATAGATGTGAATTTTTCTTTTACATTTATGTAAAGGCCAAAACAACAGTAAATTTAAGACATTGACATCGGGTTTATTTTACCCCGACTTTAGCGGGGCTCTTGTTGCATCGTTTCGATGTATAAGTAAATCCTATAATATTTTTTATTTCTCTAACTTATTTAAATTTAATTAGCTATACTTTTTTTGATATAGGTATTACTTAAAGGGAAGTAAGGCAGGCACAAGTGACGTATTTATCGACAACCTTCCAGGCTACCCTGACAACGTAAAACTTAATGCACGTGGTAATTTCTATGTAGGGACCGGGTCGGTGAGATTTGATGGTTCGAGTCCATTAGGGTCATTTCTTGACTTGATTGGACCATACCCAAATGTGAAGAAATTTATTGCAGCGGTAAGATATATTGAGAAAGTTATTGGAGCGGTAAGGTATATTAAGAAAGTTATTGCAGCGGTAAGGTAAATTGTAAATTAGAAAAGTTATTGCAGCGGTAAGGTATATTTAGAAAGTTATTGCAGCGGTTAGGTATTTAAAGAAAGTTATTGCAGCAGTAAGGTATTTAAAGAAAGTAATTGCAGCAGTAATGTATATTAAGAAAGTAATTGCAGCGGTAAGGTATTTAAAGAAAGTTATTGCAGCAGTAAGATATATTAAGAAAGTTATTGCAGCGGTAAGATATATTAAGAAAGTTATTGAAGCGGTAAGGTATATTAAGAAAGTTATTGCAGCAGTAAGGTATATTTAGAAATTTACTGCAGCGGTAAGGTATTTAAAGAACGTTATTGCAACGGTAAGGTATATTAAGAAAGTTATTGCAGCGGTAAGGTATATTAAGAAAGTTATTGCAGCAGTAAAGTATATTTAGAAAGTTACTGCAGCGGTAAGGTATTTAAAGAAAGTTATTGCAGCGGTATCGTATATATTAAGAAATTTATTGCAGCAGTAAGGTATATTTAGAAAGCTTTTGCAGCAGTAAGGTATATTTAAAAAGTTATTGCAGCGATAAGGTATATTAAGAAAGTTATTGCAGCGGTAAGGTATTTAAAGAAAGTTATTGCAGCGGTAAGGTATATTAACAAAGTAATTGCAGCGGTAAGGTATATTTAGAAAGTTATTTTAGCGGTAGGTATTTAAAGAAAGTTATTGCAGCAGTAAGGTATTTAAAGAAAGTTATTGCAGCAGTCAGGTATATTAAGAAATTTATTGCAGCGGTAAGGTATTTAAATAAAGTTATTGCAGCAGTAAGGTATTTCAAGAAAGTTATTGCAGCGGTAAGGTATTTAAATAAAGTTATTGCAGCGGTAAGATATATTAAGAAAGTTATTGCAGCGGTAAGATATATTAAGAAAGTTATTGCAGCGGTAAGATATATTAAGAAAGTTATTGCAGCGGTAAGGTATTTAAATAAATTTATTGCAGCGGTAAGATATGTTAAGAAAGTTATTGCAGCGGCAAGTTATTTAAAGAAAGTTATTGCAACGGTAAGGTATATTAACAAAGTTATTGCAGCGGTAAGGTATATTTAGAAAGTTATTTTAGCGGTAGGTATTTAAAGAAAGTTATTGCAGCAGTAAGGTATATTTAGAAAGTTATTTTAGCGGTAGGTATTTAAAGATGTTATTGCAGCAGTAAGGTATTTAAAGAAAGTTATTGCAGCAGTAAGGTATTTAAAGAAAGTTATTGCAGCAGTGAGGTATATTTAGAAAGTTATTGCAGCAGTAAAGTATTTAAAGAAAGTTATTGCAGCAGTGAGGTATATTTAGAAAGTTATTGCAGCAGTAAAGTATTTAAGGAAAGTTATTGCAGCGGTAAGATATATTAAGAAAGTTATTGCAGCAGTAAGGTATAAACAACTAACAACTGACAGTCGGAATTTTATCTTTTAAAAATATTTTGTGTCGCCACACTACAGAGTGAGGATCCGTCTGTAACAAAATTTAACTTGTCCGGACTACTCCTCAAAAACTGCTGGTGCAATTTCATCCAAACTTTATAAGAATGATCAGTACGAAATCGAGTTGTGCATATCGTCAGCATTGTCCGGTTCAATGATTTTTGTTAGAGTTAGTGTCCGGTTCAATGATTTTTGTCAATTATTGTTCGGTTAAATGATTTTTGTATGAGTAATGGCGCTTTAATGGTTTGTATTTTTAAAGTTGTCCAGATCACTTAAGCAATTTCAATTTAACTTTACAATATTGATCATAGCTCAAGTACTTGCGCATCGTACACGGGTTTTCTGCTTGAATGATTTTTGGCTGAGTTTTAAGTAATAATAAAAAAACGCGTTTTGCTCTGTTAATAATTTTTGACAATCCTGCTACACAGGAGTGGCTAATGAGGCGACACATGTGATCACTGATCCCTCTTGATTAATTTAATCGTGAGGTGACACATGTGATCACTAATCCCTCTTGATTAATTTAATCGTGAGGTGACACATGTGATCACTGATCCCTCTTGATTAATTTAATCGTGAGGTGACACATGTGATCACTGATCCCTCTTGATTAATTTAATCGTGAGGCGACACATGTGATCACTGATCCCTCTTGATTAATTTAATCGTGAGGCGACACATGTGATCACTGATCCCATTGAGGGAATGATTGTAAATGACAAGCAAACTGTAAAGCGATTCCAATGTTAGGGAAAACGTTTCTCTGTGTTATATTTTACACTGTGATAAAATCTTAGTTGAAAGTAAATCATTTTTTTAAACCTGTGTATTTATTATTTACAGATCACACCTCTAATTTTAAAATTTTTTATCCAAAAAATCCCTTTGTAGTAGAGATTAAAAATGGGCATACAACCCCTTTACCAGTTTAAAACCTTAAGCGGGGCTTTTTGGTTTAAACAACTTTTTTCATAGACACTACCATCCCCATATTTAAATTTTTGTCTGCAATTATAAAAAAGGACAAATTAAAAAATTAAATAGTTATTTTGGTCAAAAATTTTGTTTTTTAAATTACTTATATCACTTCAGTCAAAAATCATTGAGAAATGTAAAATAAATAGATCTATACATTATTTTTTATTTTTTAAGCGTATTGTTTGATAAGATGCCTCATTTGGGGACTCGGAGTTAATTAAATCCATGTAAATATTTTCACAGGGTATTGTTTTTGTTATTCATAGAAAGAAAAAAGGGACATATACACCATTAGCCATTGTTTTTGAAGATGTACGAGGAGTTCGTCAAACTCTCATACTAAATCAAATAAGATTGAGTGTAATGTAATGTAATGTAATGTAATGAGGATACATATTAGTGGATGGTAGATTATTTGAATCCATACTGCTGTAAATTTATTTTGATTTTTTAAGTTATTTTGTTGAAAAAACGATGATAACGTTATAATTTTCGTAATAAGTTCATAAAAGAGTAAACACAAAAGAGAAAATCCCCAACATTTTTACAGTAAAAACACCATGCTGATATTCTTGGCTGTGATATTTTCAAAACCGTATTTGCTGAATATATTTAACAAATCTCATCTTTACAAATTTTAAAGCACTCAGATTTGTTTGAGAATATATGTTGCATTTTTACAAGAAGCAAACTCACTACCTTTTTGAGCGAATGATGTATGTTTGAAGGAATTTTTCCTACAAAAATAGCGTTGCGAGAAGAAGTCTAACGGTTTCAGTGACAGGAACAGTTGAAACAAGTTCAGTTTAACCACAGAGCGCTCAAGGACAATCCGTACTTAAGTCAGAGCGGACGCAGTAGTTAAGTGTCTTTGATTCCCGTTACTTCAACAAAATTTACCAATACATCTTCATACAGACACTTTATAGATGGAATGCTACTTTACACCTTGCATTTTAACATTTGAAAAATGATACTTTCTGTACATAGCTTCTAAAACCTAATAACTAAGTAGAATAACTAAGTAGATCATGGTAATTTGAACGGAAAATTAACAAAAATAATTTTTTATAATTTATTGATTATCTACATGATGCCATTGCAACCCTTAGCATGCTGAATATCTTAAATTGACTTGTCCATCGTTTAATCTGTACAAGACAATATCACGTCAATATGTCACTTCAGGGAAAATAAAAAAAGCCCTACATGCTGAACAGTGATTAGTTTAGACGGTATAGATATGCCGCTGATCTTGGTCTGCTCTAGTCGCATGGGTACAGTTGATGGCCGCTAGTAGGCTAACGGGTTAATCTGGTTTTATGTTTCGGTTTGGATCGGAATGTCCGTCCCGAGAGTACCCCGCCCATTGGCTTGCCAACTGAACCGCAAACACATGTCAGATTTTTTTCTTGCATATTTTATCATACTTTAATTCCTTTCCTGAAACAACAAACAAACAAAAAACCCATATGACGAAATATCCGTCCCTCTTAAGATAATGTAAACAGCAACCAGTGTTAAAATAATGTACACTGCAACCAGTGAGTGTAACATGTACAATGCAAGCAAAAACCAAGGTTTATGTCTATTTTTATCTTTAAAATAATTAATTCATATCAAATCATTCTAAAATATAAAACTGACTGTTACCATATGATTATATTTTGCTAGCGTATGTAAGACCGGGAAACAATTGTTAAAATAACCCATTATTGTCCGCAAGAAATGCAATTTACTTCAAGTGTGTGTAAGCATCAATGCTGTTCTCCTTACCAAGAAAAAAGTGTTATACCAAAGAAAGAGTAATATAAATAGAATAGTGGTTCTGATCACGCTGTGATTCAATTGTTTGCGCATCGCCGGTGGGAGGAATGAAGCAAAAACCGTAACATATCAGTGTAAGAGAAACGCCGGAGCTTTTATTTAAACTACGCACTTTAAGAAACTACAGCTCTAAGAAGCACAATGAAAAAATATAAATAAAAAACATCGCATATATTTCATACACTCTTCTATAATTGAATAGGGGACATCCGGTTCTACTTGGCCAATTATTTTATATCCGGCTTGGTAAACAATTAATGCAAACAAAACAGTAATTTTCTGCTCAGTATTCGTGCCGATCGTGAAATATATTGACCATAGTATTATTTCAAAAAAGAAAAAAAATGCGTGTAATATGTTCTGTTATTTTGTCCTGCATTTCATTGTGGATTTCATCTATTGAAGCTGGTATGTTAATTATTATATCTTTTATAACATATGAGTTTAAGTTTTATAAGTCTTGTCTTTATATAATCTAACTTTTCGGACACTTGTAAGCTAACCATATATGTTATATTTCACCATGATTTTGTTATTACATAATTATATGATATATCACCATAGAATGAAGTTTACAAACTTCAATCAAAATTAAATTTTGCACCCATTTTTTTTTCAATGGTTCGAAAATAACACGGATTCTTCCGGGCCATTGAGAAAACACACGAGAAAAAATGTAGTGAAAACAAAGCAAATTGTGCTTAGTTAACAGAACATCATTCATTTTTCAATGTTTTACCGTAGAGTAATTGTTATATGACAAGAAGCAATAACTTATTAATTTTTAACATATTTTTTGTGTGTAAAACTGAAATGTTTTATCCGACCAGTGTGTTCATACTACTTGTGTTCGAAGATAGACGGGAAAGTGTGTACACGTTGTAACTACAGGCGGTTAAATTTCCCCTTCCACTACTTTCAGCTCTATTTTTATTTTATTATATTTGAAAAGTGAGGGTAAGGATAACCTTGGCATATTTTTCGTTTGTTCAGAATAAGATTTATACCAACAACGAGCACTTGTGTCGTCCGCAATCATGTATAAACAAAAAACATTCTTGAAACGGTGGGGGGGGGGGGTGCACGTGAAATGTAATATAGATAAATTTAGGGACCAATAATCTAGATTTAAATGACTAAAACGCTGTCCTAAAGCATTCATGCAAACATAATCTTTTTTCTTCAACATGATTGTAAATGCAAGTATATAGACTAGCTTTAATATCCAAATAGGTCTAAAATGCCATTTGTATTTTTTATGTTATTTACAGTCATGTATTTTCTCGGCAAAATTTAGATTTTTTTTCAAACATCATGACTATCATTTCTAGGCAATAATTTATTTATTTATTTATTTTGATCGAGATGTCATTATTAGGATTATTACAGAAGTATCTATTTATACCGTGATTTTACAATCATAACCTTGCAATAGTTTGGCATTTCTACCAACAATGTGTATGTTTTATCAGTAATTATTAAAACTCAAACAGAATACATGTAAAAATGTTACTTTCAGCTCGATGGACAGAGTGGAAAAATTTAACAACATGTAGCGCCAAGCCCTGTAACTGTCATGTTCCAAAATCAGGACAAAAGAGAAAATGCGAACAGGGAGAAATGTAAGTCAGTATGATGGGATAGCAACTTTGAAGCTGTTCAACATATGTTTTTTCCCAACCATATCTGACCTCAAGTTGTTTTTCGAAATCATTCATCATATAAGTATTGAAGCGTCATTTTGTTTCACTTCTGTATTTGAAATAGAACAGTACACTTACCATTAAAACGTTGAACAGTTAGATTTGAGTTTCCTTGTACTTAACACGGAAAGATTTTGGTTATTACAGAATAAAAGCATTTATGTAAGTATGCAAGTAAGATTTATACCAATATTTTCAATGGACACTCATTCTCACTTAAGTACGACATTCTATGTCTTCAATGTTCTATGAAAATTGATGGAAGTATATAAGCCCGAACATTCCTGTAAAATGTTTTAACAATTTGTACGGCATCAATGATTTAATTAAAGCGCAAGTTTATTAGCTTACTGGTTTGATTTTGCTGCTGGCAATCGCTTTTGAAATGAATGGGTAAGAAAAACAGCATGTCTTCAACTAAATCAAAGTATGTTCCATTGCACGTATTTTCATTCAAAGAATCTTGGTTAACAGTAAACATAGCTTATTTTTATTATTCTATTGCAGATTTTGACATACGAAAATTAGTTTTCTCAAAAATCAAATTTGAATTGCTTGTCTTCACTCTTCAAAGTCGTTATCATTTACGAGTCTTAATTGCCAAAAATGTTAATCATACATGGTAACGTATAAATGATTTATTCAATAGTAATATTAAGTCTACTGTAATATAGTTAACAAAAATATGAATATTAAGAGTATCTGTGCAACCATTTTGTTAAGGATTTCACGTTAATTTGGATTTTACAAGCGTAACTTTTACAAAATCATTTACGAGGCTCTTAAAAACCATAGTTTTACAATATATTTTCAATAATATCAATGTTATAATACTTCAGATATCATGAGCGGATATTTGTCTTGCTTATATTCTGTCAGTCATGTAAAATATTCAATAATTCCTCTTAAAATTCCCTTGTCAAACAGAAATTTTCAACATTTACGAGCCGATCATTTACGACACTCACCCTCTTTCACATTCTCTTGTGATTTATTATACCCCCGAAACGAAGTTTGGGGGTATAAAGGAGTCACTCGGTGGTCAGTTTGTCGGTCGGTCGGTCGGTCCAGCCGTCCGTTGCATTTTCCTTGTCCGGAGAGCATAACTTGAAGACTAATGGTTTGAATTCAATACAACTTCATACAATAGTCAAGCACATTGAGAGGAAGTGCAGTGTACAAGAACCATAACTCCATCTTCACTAATTACAGAGATATTGCCCTTTGTTACTTTTACTTGTCCGGAGCATAACTTGAAAACTATTGGTTGGAATTCAAAATAACTTCATACAATGGTCAAGCACAATGAGGGGAAGTGCAGTGCTCAAGAACCATAACTCTATCTAAAGTAATTACAGAGTGATTGCTCTTTGTTACTTTTCCATTGCTTTTTTTTGTCCTGAGCATAACTTGAAGACTAATGGTTGGAAATTAATACAACATCATAAAATGATCAAGCACATTGAGAGGAAATGCACACAAGAACCATAACACCATCTTGACTAATTACAGAGTTATTGCCCTTTGTTAATTTTTTCTTGTCCGGAGCATAACTTGAAAAATACTGGTTGGAAATCAATACAAATTCATACAATCTTCAAGCACATTGAGAGGAAATGCACACAAGAATCATAACTCCATCTTGACTAATTACAGAGTTATTGCTCTTTGTTACTTTTCCTTGTCCGGAGCATAACTTGAAAAGTACTGGTTGGAATTCAAAACAACTTCATACAATGGTCAAACACAGTAAGAGGAAGTGCAGTGCACAAGAACCATAACTCTGTCCAGAGTAATTATAGAGTTATTGCCCTTTTTAACTTTTCCATTGCTTTTTTCTTGTCCAGAGCATTACTTGAAAATTACTAGTTGGAATTCAATTCAATTTCCTACAATGGTCAATTATATTGAGAGAAAGCGCAGTGCACAGAAACCATAACTCTTTCTTGACTCATTTAAGAGTTTTTGCCTTTTGTTTCTTTTTATTGTCCAGTGCATAACTTGAAAATTAATTGTGGAATATTCGTTCCGAGTATTTGGAAATTTTGACTTTACGCTTATAGGTGTAAACGTAATTATATTGGAATAGACTGTATTAATTGTAAGATAGAAGGTTTTTTTTGGAGCAGAAATGGTGAGAACTAGCGAGTATTTGGCCTTAAATAAATACAATCTGAAAACTTTATAACTTTTTCATAGATGTTTTTGTTTAATGGGATATGACTATTCATGCATCTTGATATAAAACATTTTACTTTATCTAGATACTTACTATCCGTTTAAACAAACATACTGCACAGGTTTTGCAGCTCAATTATAAGATAATAGTTATAAGATTGATGTGTCCCGTAAATGACCAGAGCAAAAGAAAATAATAACAGTGATTTTCTCAATAAAAACGATATTTCTATGAGAAAAATTATTTGTTTTGATTTGTACTATAGTAATCATTTACTCTAACTTGGATTTATATGCAAATCTAGAAATTTTGTTTAACTTCTAAGACCCTTTATACGATCTTTTACTATTTATTTTGATACTATTTTCATTTCAATTGTTAATATGGCCCAATCTTGCCAAAAGAATATCTGCTCCATTTCATAACAAATATAATATAAATATGTCCAGAACGCCGCCAAACCTCTGTCAAAATCATTAAAAGTCATGTTCAAGCAAAATGAGGAATAAAATGTACATAAAAATATTAATCAGTGTCTAGAGACAGTATTTTGGGACACTGTTCATTATTTTAGAATAATGTTGCGATTTTGCATCCATGAGGAAGGAGATACGCAGGGTTGTCTATGGGACAAAGGAGTTGGAGCCATGAAGAAAGAGAAATGCATGAATGATGGTACAAATTGCCCAGGTAAATAAATAGTTTCATGGTAAATTCAATCTTCACCCTTCTTACGAATATATTTACCTTAAAAAATACAATTGGAAATTTTATTTTTTACATAGAAATTTTTATTGGCATGACAACAGTGATTTAAAATCCTTCAAGTTTTGTTTAATTTTACACTTTTATACACTTTTTCATATATGTTATTATTTTCAAATTTTGGAATACATAATGAAAATGCTTCGTTTAGTTCGATTATAATGAGCAAACAAACAAAACAAATTTATAGCTATAGTCTAAGTACATATTGTAACTTGACAGACTAAGGACACTTGCCTAGTAATTTACACCGTTCCAATAGCTTCATTGTGAAATGTTCTTATATTATAAATGACTTTCCTGCCAAATGTTAAAATGTATCAAAAAAGTAGCAAAAGTAATAAAATAAATAAAATAAAAACACATCAGAGGGAAAAAAGAGAGATAAAGACCAGGTCTGGTGTAAATAGGTAACGCTGCCTTCGGTGAATGTAGGCAAGGTAATTAAAACACCTACCAAAAATCACTGCACCAATTATTTGAGCAATTTCTATAGTCTGTTTCAAACAGTTTGTATATCAGTCTGTTATTATCCATACACACTAAACGATTCCAGAGGCGTAAAGTAGAGGACCATCTTCGGTAACTGCTGTGTAACCAACCTGTGTCGCCAAGCATGGCAAATATTGAACGCCATGAAATATCTTATTGCGCGATTTTGAATATTATCTATCTGTTAGTAATGTTCATTCCCCCAAACAGACGCACAGTAATCAAGTATTGGTAAAACACATGAGTTGTGAAGTTTTATTGTAGACTATTTGTAGTTGTGTATTTGGTTTATAATGTTACCTAAATATTTGTATATCTCAAACGATTTCTTCCTCCTTGTGAAGTCTGTATATGTCATAGAAAATCTACAACTTGCGTTAATTTTCGCTCTAGTGAAATTGTTTCATAGTGTGGGGACCTTTCTGTTGAAAATGTTTCTCATTTAAATTGTACACATATACATGAACATTGCGTTAACTTGAGTACATGTACTAGTTACCCGCACTCCAAAGCATACCCTTTGATTGGGTCATTTTTGCTGGGGTTTACTTGTGACGGCAGAGAAAGGGAAAGCGATAGAAATATCATATTAAGATGCCCGTTAGTTGGTTACTTTTTCCTGGGGTTTCATATTTCATTAGGGAAGGAGCTATGATACAAAGAGAAGAACATAAAAACACCCGGCAATCTGATTTATACTCGTGTTTCGATGCTCTTTCTATCACTTAACATACAACAAATACAGGAACATACTTATATTTTAGTTCAATACGCATTCCTTAACCATTTGACGTAATAACAAGTACAATATTAAATTGAAAAGTTTCTGTATAAACTTCACGTAACATATGTAGGTGTACCCTTGGCGAAGAAAAACAAATTTGGACTTACGAAAACGTTTACTAGTATAAATATACTTCGACCAGATCATCTTTTCTCGACCATGTGCTTCCGATTCGATGGTCGGCGCGTATAGCTGGTTGTTGATGAAAATCTTGTCCCGGACCAGTGCTGCTTTTTTCCGCTTTTCCTGACCTTAAGCATCTCAACGATAAGGAAACGATCCATTCCATTATCTCGGGTGGTAACTGTTCAGTCACATTATACAGCGAAGTTCTAAAGCATTTCAAATGAGCTTTAATAGCTTGCACAGCCTGCTTACCTTTAAAGCGTACAACGATGGGTCGTACTTTGTTACATATACTTCTCAAAGTTTGCTGAGCACCAAGAGTATTTTTGTACCTATCTTATGTTGTATGTCAAAAATTAGATTTATTTCTGTTCCTATATATGACTTAGTGATTTATTAACATTATTAAGGAATTTGTTACCAATGGTAATGTCCTTTCATGTTGATTTGTTTTGATTGTAATGAAATTGTGTATTAGACTGACATAGTGGAATTTGTGAAAAAAACTCATTTTCGCCCCCAAACATCTTTGCAAATAACCGATTTTGCTTTAATAATGACCATGTGACCCAGTGTTGTCAATGACAGCTTGGCACCGACGTTGCATACCTCCTATTAGGTTTCTTAGAACGGCTTGTGTGATGGTATTCCACTCGTCGACAAGGGCGACACGAAGCTCCCGGGTGCTTCTTGGCTGGACCTGACGGGCTGAAATACGGACCTGTAGCTCATTCCATAATGATCAAGGGGATTAAGATCCGGGGTCAAGCCGGCTAGAGTAAACGAGTAATACCATCGCCATTGGCTGTTTGGGGGCGGGCATTATAAACCCACTACCAATTGCACCAGCATTAATCTTACCTGGGTGTTGAGGATCTCATCTCGATACCGCTGGACAGTCAATGTGCCTCTGTCGAGGACAATGAGGTCAGTACGTCCATCCCAGCTGATTCCACCCCAGACCATTATTGATCCATCGCCCTAGCGGTCGTGTTCCGCAATGTTTGCTTTATGGAACCGTTCCCCTGACTTCGCCATTCTCTAGTTCGCCTATCTGTGTAGTACATGCAGTACCTTAACTCGTCGGTGAGAGAACATGGATACAAATTTATCACTATCGGAAATATCATAAAAACTATTGTCTACAGATTGAGCTTTCTCATAAATAACGTCATGTTTTTGATTATATAGAGGGCATCGTAATAAAACATGCATTTCTGTCTCAATAAACTCTTCACAAAATGGACATACTCTTTCAGCTACTGGCATGTTGGTATAACACCAAGTTTCTATTCTTAGCGGCGCAACACCACACCTAAACTATTTATGTATGCTGGCGCTGTATTTCGGCACATTGATCAATACATTTATATGGTTTACGTCAGAAATTGTTATTACATATTTTTCTAATTTATCAAGGCTTTTTTCATTATCTGTGTAATATTAGTGCCTGTTTTTAAACAATTGGTTAAATTGGAACAACCCCAGCATTCAGTGATACTCAAGAAGGTAATACAGAAATGGCCAAATAAAAGGAACAGAACGTGATCGTATAGTTAACTACATGTGACACTATATAGCCAGGTGCCTTAATCAAGTTCTAATCATAATTTGCAAAACCAGTGGATAGTAAGGTGGTGTTTGGACGTTACCTAGACTAAATATTAATTAAGAATAACACAACTCTTTATAACTTTAACACAGTGTTAATTAATTAACATACAATTTACTCAGATAAATATATTTACTGTACATATTGTATATCCACACAGGGGTATGTTTAAGTATGTAATAAAAGTTTAGTTTTAAGTACATTAATTATATGATTAAGCTAGACTTACCTGTAAGGTGAAGGTTAATCATGATTTCATCCACATAAAACTCACTAAGGGCTCACACAGAGAGAAGACGCAGCTATCAGCAGCCAGTGGTCATATTTTAGAGTAAGTAATGTCGAATAATATCGGCAAAAAGAATCACGAACAGTTTAAACGGGGAGGTAGCGGGTTGGGTGTGTGAGCCCTTAGTGAGTTTTATGTGGATGAAATCATGATTAACCTTCACCTTACAGGTAAGTCTAGCTTAATCATATAATTTCATCCTACATATAAACTCACTAATGGGCCCCACAGAGATTTTAGAGTCCTTTTTGACGCTATTATGGAAACGACATTACGTCCCGTTTTACTCCTTAATTAATATATATTATGCTATTATGGAGAACATGCAACGATTTAATTTCATGTCAAAAAAGTCTTTATGTATTTAGTAATTATTAATTTTACAGAATACTACGACATAGAATGTAATTAATTTTTTATATATGTTAACGCAAATTAACGATATCTATGATACCCTGCATAGAATTTCCATCGGTATTTGACAGTGGTTTATTAGTATGGGTAAGAGTTCGTATTAAGACGACCGTAGGGAGTCTTATCGAACTCTTACCCATATAACTGCAAATCGGCTCTTACAACTCGATATCAGATAAAAATATAGAAAGTGTCACCTCTTTAATTAAGCATAACATTATTTTTCCCCAGCAGTCACGTACAAACAAGGATGGGGTCCAATTACTTAATCTGGCATGTAAAACAATGAGTTTTCAACAATATCTAGGATTGTTAATGCAATTCATTCCTGTCATATGAAACAAAATAATGTTTTGCTTACTTTTTCTAGAAAATATAAAACAGTCAGCAATTAATAATTGACATTTTTCATAGAGTTTAAAGGATATCAAAATGTTACTGTGTTCACATTTGTCTCTGCGAGCTGAGCTCCACGTGCATTATCTATGTAATAAATTTGAATGTATCCTCACATTGCTACAGTGTTATCAGCCTTTTTAGAAACACCTGACCTGGCTAATTAAAATACGCCAATCACAATTTTCAATATCAGCACAGGTTTCTTCATGAAATAGCGGCTACACTAATTACTGCCGAGTAAGAGCCGATTTGCAGTTATTAATATATAACTGCAAATCGGCTCTTACTCGGCAGTAATTAGTGTAGCCGCAATTCGTTCAATAAAAAAAATCGCGTTAGAAATAGATATAAACGATAACAATTTTATCGCAATCAATCGTAAATAACACCGTCAAATAGATACATTAATTCGACAGTGGTTTGCAAACGAAGACCGAAGTGCATGGACAATAATATATATATTTCGAAAGAATATAATTATAATCCATGGTGTTTGGCAAGCATTATTGTTAACTAACGTAAATTTTGCCTGTGGTGTTCAGACGTTTTTCTTTTCTTTTTTTTTTATAATTCTTTTATTTATTAATTTTCAATTTTTGTATGCGATATTGCTTGGACTCTCCCTACTGCAACAAATATGTTCATGTATTTTGTATGTGGTGTTCAGACATTTTAAGCTTTTCCATGTTGTTTGGATAAGCATAATTACGAACAAATGTATCTTTTGTCTGTGGGGTTCAGACAATTTAAGCTTTTCAATGGTGTTTGGATAAGCATTATTACGAACAAATGTATCTTTTGTCAGTGGTGTTCAGACAATTTAAGCTTTTCCATGGTGTTTGGATAAGCATAATTACGAACAAATGTATCTTTTGTCTGTGGTGTTCAGACATCTTTAGCTTTTTCCTGTTGTATGGATAAGCAAAATTACGAACAAATGTATCTTTTGTCTTTGGTGTTCAGACAATTTAAGCTTTTCCATGGTGTTTGGATAAGCAAAATTACGAACAAATTTATCTTTTGTCTGTGGTGTTCAGACAATTTAAGCTTTTCCATGGTGTTTGGATCAGCATAATTACGAACAAATGTATCTTTGTCTGTGGTGTTCAGACAATTTAAGCTTTTCCATGGTGTTTGGATAAGCAAAATTATTAACAAATGTATCTTTTGTCTGTGGTGTTCAGACAATTAAAGCTTTTCCATGGTGTTTGGATAAGCAAAATTATGAACAAATGTATCTTTTGTCTGTGGTGTTCAGACAATTAAGGCTGTTCCATGGTGTTTGGATAAGCAAAATTATTAACAAATGTATCTTTTGTCTGTGGTGTTCAGACAATTTAAGCTTTTCCATGGTGTTTGGATAAGCAAAATTATGAACAAATGTATCTTTTGTCTGTGGTGTTCAGACAATTAAGGCTGTTCCATGGTGTTTGGATCAGCATAATTACGAACATTTGTATTTTGCCTTGTCTGTGGTGTTCAGACATTTTGTATAGACAACTTAAGCATTATCCTGAACAAATGTCGTATTTTGACTGTGATGTTCAGATTAAATTGGCTATTTAGACCGGTCGGTCTATTTACCCCTAAGACACGCCAAGACACGCCAAGACTACCCCAAGACTACGCCAAGACACCCCAAGACTACGTCAAGACACCCCAAGACCACCCCAAGACACTTTTACTGACATGTAAATACGTCTTTATTTTACATTTTTTACGGGAGGTAACTATGCGATTTTTTACGGGAGGTAACTATGCGATTTTCACATTTCCTGTATTTTTTTTTAATGTAAGATTATAGTTTACAACAATGAAATAATGCCAATGTTGCTGGATTTGGGTGTAGTGCAAGTTAAATTCTACGACAATGTCATTTTATGAGTGACACATTTTTCATGCCTGATTATTAAATCGATCATATTCTGTTTTATAATATTGATTTTTTTATTTCATCTGCTCCACATTTCATTAGATTAACAGATTAACATGCATAGTCTTGTTGTTTTAGTAAAGTTAATTTTCATCAAAATATTTTTTTTTAATTAAAGTGCATATCAATAGATATTTTAGTGATAACAGTTCTAAGTCCATACATATTAACAATATTTGATATATATTTGACTGTAATTAACAAGATGACACGTAAAAAATCATTTGTCGTATATAATAACACTTTCCCAATTTATACAATATTAAAGTTTCTTGGGGTGTCTTCGGGTAGTCCTCCGGGGACTAAAAATGTGTATCTTTCTGTCCTAGAGTGTGTCTTGGGGTGTCTTGGGGTATCTTAGGGTGTCTTGGGGTAAATAGACCGACCCTATTTATACACATTTGGTCGTCATAGAAAATAGCTAATAACAATTTTTAACTTATCAAATAATTCCAATCTGGCCAACTAATAAAAATATAGAACTAAACCGAAAGAGCTAATCAAATTATCTGTAACAAGTAAAGTAAGGGAAATAAACGGTAACAAGTAATAGAAAATGCATCGAACCACGAGACTATCTGATTTGTACAAGGGATTGTACCTCCAGAGTATAAATCAGATTGCCAAGTGTTTTGATGTTCTTTTAGGAAAACACATAAAACGTTTCCTGTTGTCCCCTACAAAATAAGCCAATCAACTTAACTCTGATTGAAAGGTCTCCAAACTATGATACAACTTACAATTGAATGATACCCGTAAGAATAATAAAATACAGATATTACAAGAACTCCGATACCCAGGTAGGATTATAAAAATACAAACAGCTATTATACAAACTCCGAGTTCTTTTTTCTGAGTGGTGATTTGTGTGTATTATTTAAGTTCGTGTCTGGTTCATAATATATATTATAAACATTATCTAAACTAAATACCAAAACATAATGCTATACAAATGATCAAAAGATAATGTTGCTTAGAGAATATGTATTCAAAATTAAGATTGTAATGGATTTTTATATTTCTTTTTTCGAACAGGGTGGTCCGACTGGCAGCTTGGAAAGTGTGACTGTGAATCCAATATTAGACTTATTCAACGAGAGTGTAACAACCCCCCACCTATACACAATGACGTTCTTTGTAAAAGTGAGTGTTTTTTCCTGAAATTCAGGCTGTAAGTTTATAAGTATTGACAAATTTATTTTAAGACGCTCTTTATATATACATAGTCAAGCATTTATACGTGTAGTTCTACCACGTGACGTTTCACTTTTAAATTCATTGAATTTGCTCAATATGATACCACTCTTAAGTTAATCAACAAATATTAGCATTTACAACAGTAACTGGTAGGACTAAATTCCGCTGGTAATCCTGCTATTTCAGGTGACGCTCGAGATGAAGTGATGCATGAAGAACAAACACGTGTCTGCAATTGCACTGGTAAATTCTTTGGGGTTAATTCTTTAAGAGTACCTAAGCACATGTCACTTTGATGTTTAAGGATCTTTGACTGTGTGTTTCCAGTGACATCTTTTCTGTAACTAACCACTTACACAGATTTGATACAAATTCGATTTTCTGTGCAAAAATGTCTGACTATAGCATACAACTTATCTGGTTTAGAGAAGCTAAAAGAGATTTTTTAAGTTCAACCTTTATTTCTTACAAAAGCTTCATCTCTATAACTTCAAGCTTGAGAGCTCAGATATTTGGTGTGATGTCTTGTATGATGTCTTGTATGATGGAATGCTATTTAGTTTGTTCAAATCAAGACCCGGGGTCAAAATAGGGCCCACCCAAGTGGTCATGTGATTTTACATAGAGTTATAAAAAGGATTTGTTTGAAACATTTTTTCCCTAAACTTCAATCATTTGAACTTTTCATGTTTAACATGGTATAGTTAATCACTGTCCTAGATTTTTCAAATCTTTCTCTTCAGGAGCTCAGATATTTGGTGTGAAGCATTCGATAATGTCCTGCGTCAGGAGTCATATAGGAAAACTTTTAAAAATTGTTTGATCTAGAGCTTTTAAAAATATTTGTTGTGTTAATCATTAGATACTTGATTTAACATCTTAAAAAGCGCCTTCCTATTGACCTAGAGCTAAGATATTTCATTTGTTTAATTGTATATGAAATCACTGCTAAATGTGTTCAAATCATGTTTTGCAAAAATACGATAAAATATCAGTTAAACGAGGAAGCTTAGATTTTTGTTTTAAAAGTAATATTCATTAATATTTTTTACACATAAATAGCTCGAAACTACGAAAACACGAAATTACGATGGTGAAAAAGTCATATCAATGAAACCACGAAAGTGAAAGTGCGCTGGTGAAAAATCAAAATAACGAAAACGCGTTTGTGAAAACTTTATATAATTTCGTGTTTTCAACATCGCGCTTTTGACTTTTCACTATCGTTGTTTCGTAACTTGGACTTCCACCCTCCTATTTTGGACATTTCATAATTGTATTTTCGAGATTTCACCATCATGCATTCGTTATTTCAACTTTTTACCATCATTCATATGCTGACATCATGATAAAAAGCCATTGACATAATTATTTCTGTGAAATTGTTCGCTTGGTAAAAACATTTTCTGATATCATCATGCATTTTAAGTGTGTGCGTGTGCATGCCAGACAGGAACGCGACAGTACGATGTCAGATGAAAATTCAAAGGTACGAAGATGAAAAGTCGAAAGTACGACGATGAAAAGTGGAAATAATGAAACCAAGATAGTTAAAAGTCGAAAATACGAAAAGGAAGTCAAAAATATGATGATAAAAAGTCGAAATAATGAAAACAAAGATCGTGAAAAGCCGAAGGCACGATGGTAAAACTCGAAAGTTTTAGTTTTCACTATCGTGGTTTCGTTATTTGGGCTTTTCAGCATCGTACTATTGGCGTTCCATCATCATACCTTCGCCTTTTTACCATCATACGTTCGAGTTTTATGCTTGTCGAGATGGCCGTAATGGAAAACCGTACACAAATTCCACTTATTTAAAAGAAAAATATATTATAACTTGACATATCTTAACATTTTGATTATTTTATCATATATAATGTTTTGATATGCAATTAACTCAGATATATTAACATTGCATATATCAGGTTATATGTTGTTATATCTTTTAACAGAAGAAGAAATGGCTACAACGCCTACAACAACAACTTCAACAACAACAACAACAACGGGGGCATCGACAACGCCTCTTCCGGTATGTTACAACAACATAACCTGCTCAATTTGTGTTATTTAATTATTGCTTTGCTTTAAAGTAAGGACATGTCATTGAAACTGAAAGGATGTAAAAAGCAAAACACAAGGTGTGCAACCCGCAATACAGTCTGGTCAGACTGCACGTTCTCAATCCCAGAATCAATATCATGGTTACCAAGTTAAGGTTTATTGCCAAAAATTGTAATTCAGGAAAATATTGCAAAAGCTACACAAAAGTTTATAACTGATTCGAATTTGACTTTAAAATGCCATAGATTTATATTCTGTATTGATCGACTCATACAGATATTTTTCTTCACGAAATAATAAGTTAAATGTAAATCAGTGGACAAAACTATGTAGAAAAGATGTTTTGACCTTTCGTTGTTATATTTTTTCATAAATCCGCAAATCACTAATTCAGTAAGGATTCAGTAAGGATTGTCGTGAAAGCTGGCACCTTTTTCCGGCGTCCCGTTTTTAACGTGTAGTACCTCTCTAGCTGTCATTTTAGCTACACTTTCCGAAGAAACAAAGTGGAGATATTGCCATGACCCTCCCGTCGGCGTTCGATTACCTTTTCGTTAATATCCGTTTTTTAGAAACAATTTAAGCTTTTTTTCACTTCAAACTTGGTATATATGTTTGTTGTCATAAAAGGACGCCATTTCAATAGGGCAGATAATCCTAAAATTATTTTTGCAAAGTTATGTACCCTTTGCGACTTAGATTTTTAGCCTCGGTCAACTTTTTGTTTGAAGTCCACTTACAAAATAACTATCAAAGTAATTCACTTCAAACTTGATTCTGTTTTTCTCTATTTTATGGTCACATCAGTGTTATTTGTGCCGTGTGGCGGCCGTAAAAAGTCTCCACGTACATTTAATCAAAGATGTTATATTTTCGATCCTTGAAGATCGTTAAACACGACATAATTGTTGTGTATACATGTTATGTGGTATTTTTAGTTTCTTAAATTTGGCCTTTTTCAACATGGGTGGTTCCAGTATTCCTACTTGATTACTGTCTAATCATCCTTAGTATATGTTGCCTGCTTTTTAAATTGTCTCTTGACGTCTTATCTGTGATATGCAGGCTTCATAACCTCAATTCCCCTTTCAAAATTCCATTTTATTTAGTTCCGCCCATTGTTTTCTCGTTTAGGGCACACGCATTTTTTTAATAAGGGACCATACGCCGCTTTTCATGGAATGGCACTTCTGTGTCACATTGAAGGTTCTACGATAACCGCCGTATGAACACATCTGCGAATGTTTCTAAATTCAAAATTGCACCATTTTCGTGTTTAAATGTTGAATTCTGCTTAAGACGGTGCTAGGGGCATGGACGGTAACTTGCACTTTAAAGTACCGTACATGAACAGGCTCAAACAAACCGAGCCTGCAACATTTTTCAATTTTGCCGTGTTGGGCTTTCTTTAGAGATTCTGTTTTTCTCTTTTTTTTGATGTTCATTATCAAAATATTTTACCAGATGTTCTTTTTTTGCAAAGTTATTCTCCATTTTGATAAAATTGTCAAAGTTGATCTCATTAAACTTAACTTTTTTTTTAGTTTTTAAATTGGAATGCATTTTAAAAGGGCAGACAACATTTTACTTTATTCAGTTATGCCCCCTTGGATTTTCATTTTCTTTGTTAAAAGTTTTGTTTTGTTAAGGAACATTTCTAAAAAAATATCAAAGATTTACACTGTCACTAGCACTTGTTCACTGTCAAATTTTAAATGTATTTTTAGATGCAGGTGAGATAATCCTGAAAGCCTTTTTGTCTTATTAGTTCCATTGTTTCACTTTCTGTCCAGCACTGAGAAAAATGAGCGCGCCGTCCGTCGACGGGTCTTGTTTATTGAAAACATTTAACCGATGAAAATCATTTCAAAAGTCATTTCATGTGCAAATTAACGCCATGAACTTTATGTTATAGATCCTACCCTTTGCCATCTTGAAAAAAAATATTGTAATAATTTTGTCAAGTGCTCGAACTTTGTAATTAATTTTGGCAAACGCATACATTTTCTTGGTATAAAAATATGTGATGTTAATATAAAATCAATACATTGTTGATAGTTACGAAATGTCCGTCGATGAAAACTATCGTCAGTGGTTACGTATACTGCAGTATCTTTACCTTTATTGAAATTGTTAGGGAGTAGGAGTTTCACTCATTTCACCGAATAAGGTTTTTCATATTGGACAATGAGAGGTTTAAGGAAGTTTTATATCTATTATCTTTTTTTTTTAAAGTGACATCATTAAAATATTTTAACATGATGTTTCAGTGTTGTAAGGAAGAAAGCTACGAAGATTATGATAACGGCGCAACTAATTCTCGTTTCGAAGGATGTGGAACAAAAGCAACAACAACAAAAAAGCCGTCTCAAGTTGACCTCGACTACTATGATATGTATGATAAACTGTTTGAGGAGAATCCTAATTGTCGAAAGTGTAGTTCAGCAGAAATAGAAGCCGAAAGAGGTAACGCTGACAGTGGAGATGACGTAGATTACGATTACGATTACGCAAACGGTGACTTGGGAGACGGAGAAAGTGACTTTGGAGATTGTTGAGACGACAATGAAGACGATGGAGACGGCGGACAGTGATAATGAGGATGAAGCCGTCTTAATTAGGACTCCAGATTAATTACGATGGCATGTCATGACTGACATTGACAAATAGGAACAGTTCATAAAATGTAAAGATAGTGAATATTTTAACAGTAAACTATAATCACACTTAATGTCATATATGGACTTGTCAATTGACAAAACTATTCACCAGTTTAGAGAAAAACTTTATGCCCGCTTATTTTGGTCTGAGTTGATCACTTGGAAACAAAAATCAAATCATTTTAATTGTGGTATCTGATTGGAAAAATAAAGATATCGAAAATACTGTAATAATAAAAAAATAAATTTGCATAAGATATAAATGCATTATATTTTGATCATGTTAGTAGCAATACCATTTTAACATATTTATTGTCCCCCGCCTTTTCGTAGAAAAAAGGGGGATATAGAAAAAGGCTCCGTCCGTCTGTCCGGGCGAACATCCAATGGTCTATGAGCTTCATTCCGTCCATAATTGTAGTTTACAAAAGAAGGAAAACCCATAAACCGACTGATTTATGTGGTACTTTTACTGATTTATGGGAAAAATGGCACATAAAGATCAAAGAAAAAACACATAAACCCCAAAAGTTGGCACATCTGTCTGTCCGTCCGTCTGTCCGTCCGCTCTCACGGGAAGTTATAATATGGCTAGAGGGGCAATAGGTAACTCTTTGATGTCATTCATTCCGCAATGCTTTTATGTGGCTATTTTATGTGTGGCTGAAAAAGAACAATAGAGAGAACAATAGAGTAGCCACATTATTACTGTCCCGTTAGAACGTTCGTCTGTCGGTCCGTCACACTTTCGTGTCCGGTCCATAACTTTGTCATTTATTAAAGGAATTTGAAATAACTTGGCGCAAATGTTTGTTATAATAAGACGATGTGTCATGCGCAACAACCAAACCCCTACCTCCAGGGTCAAGGTCGCACTTGCTTATTCAAGGTGAACATGTTCTATTTGAGGGTATATGTCGTGTCCGGTTCATAACTTTCTTATCTTTGAAGGGATTTTGTAAATACTTGCCACATTCATTCACAAAAGGGAGACGATGTGTCATGCGCAAGAACCGGTCACCTACCTCCAAGGTCAAGGTCACACTTGGAGGTCAAAGATAAACATAGTCTGTTACAGGGCATATTTTGTGTCGTCCGGTCCATAACTTGTTCATAGATCAAAGGATTTTGAAAATTGTTGGCACAAATAGTCACTATAATAAGACAATGTGTCATGCGCAACACCTGCATCCCTACCTCCAAGGTCAATGTCAAACTTGGAGGTAAAATATTAACATAGTCTGTTTTAGGGTAAATTTTGTGATCGATCTAGAACTTCTTCATAGTTCAAGGGATTTTGAAATTTCTTGGCACAAATAGTCACAATAATAAGACAATATGTCAAGTACAACACCTGCACCCCTACCTCCAGGGATAATGTCACACTTAGATGTCAAAGGTTAACAGTGTCTGTTATATGGTATATTTTGTGTCCCGTCTATAACTTCTTCATAGATCAAGGGATTTTGGTCTATACAGAATTTATTTTAGTTCGATTGTGTAGGAAGCTATAAGCTTATAGACACACTTTCCAGTGCTGCTTTTTCTGCTTTTCCTGACCTTAATCATCTCAAGGATAAGGGAACGACTCCGTTCCAATATCTCGGGTGGTAACTGTTCAGTCACATTATACAGCGAACTTCTAAAGCATTTTAAATGAGCTTTAATAGCTTGCACAGCCTGCTTACCTTTAAAGCGTACAACGATGGGTCGTTTTTGTCACATATACTACTCAAAGTTTGCTGAGCACCAAGGGTATTTTTGTACCTATCTTATGTTGTATGTCAAATATAAGATTTATTTCTGTTCTTATATATGACATAGTGATTTATTTACATCATTTAGGAATTTGTTACCAATGGTAATGTGTTTTCATGTTGATTTGTTTTGATTGTAATGAAATTGTGTTTTAGACTGATGTGATGGCATTTGTGAAAAACTCATTTTTGCCCCCAAAAATCTTTGCAAATAACTGATTTTGCTTTAATAGGGAGTATGTGATCCGGTGTTGTCAATGACAGCTTTACAGCGACGTTGCATACTCCCTATCAGGTTTCTTAGAACGGCTTGTGTGATGGTATTCCACTCGTCACAAGGGCGGCACCAAGCTCCTAGGTGCTTCTTGGCTGGACCTGACGGGCTTAATACGGACCTGTAGCTCATTCCATAATGATCAAGGGGGATCCCAGCTGATATCACCCCAAACCAGTATTGATCCGCCGCCATAGCGATCGTTTCCCGCAACGTTGCTGTAAGGAACCGTTCCCCTAACTTCGCCATACTCTACTTCGCCTAACTTATGTAGTCCATGCAGTACCTCAACTCGTCGATGAAGAGGACAGGCGCCAGTCCATCCTGCTACCAACATGGTCCATGGCCCAATCATATTGGAGCCGGCAGTGGTCTCTAGACAGCGGGATCCGTATACATGGTCTTCTCGATCGCAAACCACTTTCATGCAAACGTGTAGGTATTGTTTGTGTTGACACACGCACCCATGAGGCATTTCAAAGGTCATAACGACGTTGTGTTACAGTTGCAAAACGGTTTCTTCGTGTCTGAATGACCAGAAAACGATCCTCAGCCTCAGTAGTCACCCTTGTTCTTCCACAACTATGTCGTCTAACAAGTGTACCATGCTGTTGGAACATTGCCCAGACTTTGTTGAAAACCGCATGGTCCCCACCAAACACCTCACCAACCTCAGGATGTCGAGCCCCCTGCTCCACCATACCAACTGCCCGCCACAACTCTGCTTCTGATAAATGCCTTCTAACATTTGCATTCGCCATTATTCAGTCTTAAATGCTCAATATTTCAATGGAAAATGAAGAATAAAACCCTCAACGTGTCGGTACGACGTGTATGCTGTGACTAATGAAGACTATAAAAATACAGGGTCACCTTGTTTGCCATACTTGCACGTGGAAATGACCAGTCATTCAAGATTATGAGTACACAGGGTACACCTCGATACATTACTACACGATTTGCAATGTAATATTGTAAATATCATAACATTAAATGATGTATAATGCACGATGCTATGTGGAAAACTTGGAGCTTAGCAAACTTTGAGTAGTATATATGGAGGTGTACCAACACTATGGGCAACATCAATGGCGAAATGCGATTGAAGATTGGAAATATTCAGTATTTTAGCAAACATTCATGTACTTTTTATATACAGTTCACTATGATTGAACTTGTGGCACAATAGGTCGTCTGACCGGGACTTACGGCCTCACTCTGAGCCATGAACCCTTCGGATCCATAAACAACCTCGGATATGAGCACACCTGGTTTCTCATGCCACTAAGAAGCGTTATTGTGGATATAGAACAAGTCACTGGTATATTGGTCTGTGACGAGTGGGGATAGCGGATGGGGATCTGCGCGCTGCTCTCCGGAATAAGGTTAAAACTTGTTTGGACTCATTTGGCGGTATTTCATGTCAATAATATTTCGATAAACTATCATTGGACAGTTTGAGATTCTTATTTATACATAGATAAATTGTCATAGTCATTGCTTAGAAACCGAACGCTTTTCCCCAACGGTTTTGTTTTCTCTTTCATGCTATCAATAAATGAGCTCATGGTTTTAAATGATGCGTAAAACGAGTTTTTTTAATATATCACAGCAGGATTTTGCGAGGATTCTAACCATATCTGGGTGAGAGAATTTGGATACAAATTTATCATTATCAGACATATCATAAAAACTATTGTCTACAGATTGAGCTTTCTCATAAATAACGTCACGTATTTGATTATAGAGAGGGCATCGTAATAAAATATGCATTTCTGTCTCAATAAACTATTCACAAAATGGACATACTCTTTCAGCTGCTGGCATGTTGGTATAACACCCAGTTTCTATACTTATCGGCGCATCACCACACCTGAACTTTTTATGTATTCTGGCGCTGTAATTAGGCACATTGATCATCAATACATTTATATGGTTTACGTGAGAAATTGTTGTTACTTATTTTTCTAATTTTTCAAGGCTTTTGTTTTTTCATTATCTGTGTAATATAACTGCCTGTTTTTAAACAATTGGTTAAATTGGAACAACCCCAACCCTCAGTGATGCTCAAGAAGGTAATACAGAAATGGCTAAATAAAAGGGACAGAACGTAATCGTATAGTTAACTACATGTGACACTATATAGCCAGGTTAAACTTAATCAAGTTCTAATCATTAATTGCTAATCAAGTTCTAATCATTATTTGCAAAACCAGTGGATAGAAAGGTAGTGTTTGGACGTTACCAGACAAAATATTAATAAAGAATAACACAACACTTTATAACTTTAACACAGTAACATTAATTAATATACAATTTACACAGACAAATATATTTACTGTACATATTCTATATACACACAGGGGTATGCTTATGTTTGTAATAAAAGTTTAGTTTTAAATAAATTTATAAGATATTAACCTTACAAGTAGAAATTGAGTGATTATTTAATAAGTTATCAAAACCTAAGCAATAGAAATCTTAACGATTTACATGTGTTATAGTGTCAAAGTTTTGAATATTGTCAAAGCACTAAGGCTTTGCAGAGAACTGACCTGAATAGATTCCAAGACAAGAAATATAGAAAATCACCCGGTATATATACACATTTGGTCGTCATAGAAAATAGCTAATAACAATTTTTAACAAATCAAAAAATTCCAATCCGGATATAGAACTAAACCGAAAGAGCTAATCGAATTAACTTTAACAAATAAAGTAAGGTATTTAAACGGCACCAAGTAATATAAAATGCATCGAACCACGAGACTATCTGATTTGTACAAGGGATTGTAGCTCCAGAGTATAAATCAGATTGCCAAGTGTTTTGATGTTCTTTTAGGCAAAAATATAAAAACGTTCCCTGTTGTCCCCTGAAAGAATAAGCCAATCAACTTAACTCATTTTCAATTGAAAGGTCTCCAATCTATAATACAACCTACAATCAAATGATATCCGTAAGAATAATAAAATACAGATATTACAGGTACTCCGATACCCAGTTAGGATTATAAAAATACAAACAGCTATTATACAAACTCCGAGTTCTTTTTTCTGAGTAGTGATTTGTGTGTATTATTTAAGTTTGTGTCTGGTTCATATATATGTTTATATTATAAACATTATCTAAACTAAATGCCAAAAACATAATGCTATATATAACTGATCAAAAGATAATGTTGCTTAGAGAAAATTTATTTGTAAGGGATTTTTCTATTTTGTTTTCGAACAGGGTGGTCCGACTGGCAGCTTATGGAGTGTGACTGTAAATCCCATATTAGACTTATTCAACGAGAGTGCAACAACCCCCCACCTATACACAATGACATTCTTTGTAAAAGTGAGTGTTTTTCCTGAAATTCAGGCTGTTAGTTTATCAGTATTGACAAATTTATTTTAAGACGCTCTTTATATATACATAGTCAAGCATGTATACGTGTAGTTCTACCACGTGACGTTTTACTTTTAATGTCATTGAATTTACTCAATATGATACCACTCTTAACTTAAGTTCCTCAAGAAATATTAAACTTGTTTATATGTTCGTATATATATAATACATAATGAATTCTATTTTTACATTGAATTAGAAATAAAATAACATAAATATATTAACACAAGAGATACAGACCATCAGTGGTAATATCTATATCTTTATCAGTTATTCTAATATAATCATTAACATTTCATTAACATAAACATATTTAATCACTGATAAAATATGGGTTGAATTTCATTATTTTTGATTTCTCATTGGTCGCATTATGATAAGGAAAACATTCGTGTGTTGATCACTAATAAGACTAGGTATATATATATGACCGATTATTAAGTATTTATATTTAACAACAACAACAACAACAACAACAACAACAACAACAACAACAACAACAACAACAACAACAACAACAACAACAACAGTAACTGGTAGGACTTAATGCCGATTGCAATCCTACTATTTCAGGTGACGCTAATGAAGATGCGATGAAAGAAGAACAAACTATTCCCTAAAATTGCACAGGTAAATTATTTTGGGTTAATTCTTTTAGGGTACCTTAGCACATGTCACTTTGATGTTTAAGGATCTTTGACTGTGTGTTTCCAGTGACATCTCTTCTGTAACTAACCACTTACACAGATTTGATTCAAATTCCATTTGCTGTGCATAAATGTCTGACTATAGCATACAATGTATCTGGTTTAGAGAAGCTAAAAGATATTTTTTAAGTTCAACCTTTATTTCTTACAAAAGTTTCATCTCTATAATTTCAAGCTTGAGAGCTCAGATATTTGGTGTGGTGTCTTGTATGATGCAATGCTATTTAGTTTGTTCAAATCAAGACCGGGGTCAAGGTAATGCCCGCCCAAGGAGTCATGTGATTTTACATAGAGTTATTAATAGGGTTTCCTTTTAAACCTTTTTTTTCCTAAACTTCAATCATTTGAACTTTTAATGTTTAACATGGTATAGACGCCTTGCAAAATCTGAGGTCAATTTCAGGTCGCTAATGCATTATTTAGTGGAGGCAGAAAGCTGCTTACTGATAAGCCTCCAGAACATGATTCAGAGAGAAATTAGTCTCACATTAATTAGCCATTTACTGTTTAACGATAAATAGCCATTATCAGCAGAATACCTTCAACCGGTTTCAGAAATTTAGAGAATATTTTGTGATATTTCAGTGAAAATTGAGAATATTAATTAAATAAAATGGTTCATAGTTGTTGTGCAGTTGGATGTTCAAATAGACAAAGCACAGAAAAAAATATATCATTACATAGATTTCCTAAATATCCATTGTGGAGAAGGGAAGCATGGATAAAAGCTTTAAAAAGATTAGAAATTGGCAGTACACCGGGAAAACAAAAGCCCTGGCAACCTACAAATAGTTCTCGTGTATGCAGTATGCATTTTATAACGGGTAAGACCAATTCTTTTGCCTATTTTTTTTGTATGTCTTGTTTCATAATAGAATTCTTGTAAATATATCTATATAGTTCAGTTTAATTTTTGACGATAAAAGTAGTTTTTAATTGTAATTATGTAACTGTCAATTTCTGCCTAAAGTTATATATAATGATAATATAAAATAACATTTCGAAATACCTTTTCTTTTAAGGAAAGCCATGTGAGGAAATAACTCATCCCGATTTCATACCTAATCAGAATTTAGGTGGAAAGAATGGAAATAGCAGAACAAATATTACTACAATGGAAAGATTCAAAAGATCAAAGAAAAGACAGAAAACAGGAATGTCTCATGATGAAACTGTTTCCATACCTGAGCATCAGTCCCAGGAGCCTGATTTGGACATAAACATTGGTAAATGTAATAATAAAACATCTAATTGATGCATTAGATAAAATTTCTGGTAAAAGTGCATAAAATCAGACTTAAACAAGTGTGAGTTTTATTACAATACATTAGTATGAATAGCTTACACACCTTAATTATGAGTTCTTTTACTTTTTTTCCAGGCATTCAGTGTGATTTGCTTACTGACGGACAAACATCCATGGTCACAGAGCTTGAAAAGAAACTTAAAAAGGGAACAAAAGCAAATGAATGTCTTGAGAAGAAATCATATCTGCAGGAACAGAGAATTAGTAAATTAAAACTGTCTTTTTCTAGCGGTGTGTACCAATTATTGACTGCTTTGAGATCTTCATTAAACGCCCGAAGAACCTTACTGCCCGAGCTCAAACTTGGAGTAATTACAAACATAACAATATTGTAAAGTATCTGATATCTAAATCGCCATCAGGAGCGATAAATTTTCTCTCATCTGGTTGGGATGGAAGAGTATCAGATAAGGAAATTACATTAAAATCTGGGTTTATGGAAAATCTTATGCACGGAGATGAAGTTTTGGCTGATAGAGGGTTTCTTCTGTCAGAGGAAATGGCATCACAGGGTGTGGTGTTAAGAATTCCGTCCTTTACAAAGGGTAAGAAACAGCTGAGCGGAAAAGACGTCGAAACATCGAGAAAACTTTCTCATGTTAGAATACATGTAGAGAGGGTGATAGGTCGAATGAGAACTTTTCTCAATCTTGAGTCCAACATACCTCTTTGCCAAGTGCATCTACTGGATGACATAGTAACCATTATAGGGACTTTAAATAACTTACTCCCCCCAATTGTCAAAGGCTAGTTTGAAGCAATATTGTATACATGGAATGTGTAAAAAATAAACATACTACAAAAATCAGTTCTTGTTTTCATTTAATGTTTTCAATAATAGCATGTAAAATATATCGTTTGTACTCTAATGTTAGTTTTTTCAACATTTTCTCTATGAAGGTATCATCTTTGTATACCCTTACACCAACACTGGAAGATTTACTCCACAAATATAAGTCACAGTATTCTAAATTGGCATATTAAAAATGCCTTGCAACTTGAGTGTAAAACTTGTGTGTCTTTTTGAGCTCGAAATTTTCATTTATAGGATAGTCGGCATTTGATTTCGCTATTAAACTGTCTGGCTGCGGCACTCCGTTCTCGAAGGTCTTCAAACATTTAATTTCCAGACATCCTTTTCCACAGCAAGAACACTGCACAATGCCATCAGGAGAGGCACCCAGATGAGGATATTTTTTATTTAGCACCAATCCACTTTCTAAACACAAAAAATTGTCATGAAGAATAGTGTGATATTTTTGGTAGGTTTTTCTGGCAAATGCCTCCATATCTAAACAATATTTGGTTGCTGACGTAGAAAAGCGTTTATGATGTAATATTTCATCAACCATTGCCGATCTTTCTGTTGTGTCTCGCAAAGTGAAGACACGGTGCATCTTACTTGAGGTGACTCGCCCTTTGTGACTGTTTAACAGTCATTTGTTCCAAGTTTGAAACTAATTCAATGGAGAGCTGTTCACTCAAGGAAGAAAGTATTTCATCTGGTGTCATTTTGTTGTACTGTAATGATTTAATGCTATCTTTTATAGTTTTCGGGACCTGTGGTGCTACCTTGACTTCCAAAAGAGTAAATATTGCTGCATTAGGCTGGATACGCTTTAATCCAAAGTGCGACATGTGGAAATACTCGTGCTAGATTTAGTCATAGGCTGCCTTACATCATCTCCATATTTTGGCCTCTTGAAGTCTATGCACGACACAGGTGCTGGTTCTGCCTTTCGCCTTGACATATCATTCCATTTACAAAGTGAGCTCGTGCTTGCAGTGACATTAAGACCCATTCGGATAGCGGCCTCAACCTTGTAAGCTATGGCTGCTGCATGGCTACACGCTTTACCAGCTCTGTAAAATAAAAGGAAAATAATTAGGTTTACATAAAAATTACACCTGCTACTGAAGAATATGACTTTTTTGAATACTCCAGATGAATTAACAAAAATCATGTCAATCTTACTGATTGGCCAGAACATTCTTGCTAAATGTTTCTATGGACCTTGTGTTAGAGCTAAGACAAATAGGTATAAATCATATAAATAAAAAAATATAATCTTATGAACATACCCTGCCATACAGGTACAATGGGTTGTGTGGATCCGACCATCTTTTCTCAATATGAGGTTAGCCTTGCACAATGTATTTTTGTACCCTGTCGCTGGCTTGGCAACACTTCAGCCATAAGATAAGTAAAATCCTCAATCCCTGTGTCGTAGAACAGAACTGGCTGAACATGTCCACATACAAAGTACTGGTATGCATCCATAGATTTGTAGCATTTCATTTGCTCATTTGAGTAGTAATTGCTACTTTGAACAAAATAGTTGTAGATGTCAGGGTAGCCAATATCTGGCCATAATTTGGGATCATTTATCCAAGACTTTTTGTCAATTACGTAAGGATCTGGAAGTGTTTTGTCTGCAGAAATGGTTAGCTTATCTAAATAAACAACTAAATCAGTTGCTGACAGCTTAGAAGCATAATCCGACATTTTCAGCTGAGCAAAATCCAAAGACATGATTATTTTTAAGCATATGTTGACTCCTTTCTAACTAAATGTTATATGAACTTTGGCTATAAGCAGACAGCTTTCTGCCTCCAGAGATAACCTGTGGTCAGTAATGATATGCAGCGTTCTATTTTTAGTATCTTTGAAAGGCGTCTATTTTTCAAATTTTTCTCTTCAGGAGCTCAGATATTTGGTGTGAAGCGTTCGATAATGTCCTGCGTCATGAGTCATATAGGAAAACTTTTAAAAATTGTTTGTTCTAAGCGCCGTGACCTTGAGCTTTTAAAAATATTTGTTGTGTAAATCATAACTTTTGATACTTGATTTTACATAGTCTAATGTTGGAACAATCTTAAAAAGCGCCTTGACCTACAGCTAAGATATTTCATTTGTAGAATTGTATATGAGATCACTGCTAAGTGTGTTCAAATCATGTTTTGCAAAAATACGATAAAATGACAGTTAAACAGGGAAGCTTAGATTTTTGTATTTAAAGTAGAATTCATTTATATTTTTTACACATAAATAGCTCGAAACTACGAAAACACGAAATAACGATGGTGAAAAAGTCATATCAATGAAACCACGAAAGTGAAAAATCAAAATAACGAAAACGCGTTTGTGAAAACTCTATATAATTTCGTGTTTTCAACATCGCACTTTTGACTTTTCACTATCGTTGTTTCGTAACTTCGACTTTCACCCTCCTATTTTGGACATTTCATAATTGTATTTTCGAGATTTCACCATCTTGCATTCGTTATTTCAACTTTTCACCATCATTCATATGCTAACATCATGATCAAAAGCCATTGACATAATTATTTCTGTGAAATTGTTCGCTTGGTAAAAATATTTTCTGATATCATCATGCATTTTAAGTGTGTGCGTGCGTATGCCAGATAGGAACGCAACAGTACGATGTCAGATAAAAAGTCAAATTTACGAAGATGAAAAGTCGAAAGTACGACGATGAAAAGTGGAAATAATGAAACCAAGGTGATGAAAAGTCGAAAATACGAAAAAGAAGTCAAAAATATGATGATGAAAAGTCGAAATAATGAAAATCAAGATCGTGAAAACCGAATGCACGATGGTAAAACTCGAAACTTTTAGTTTTCACTATCGTGGTTTCGTTATTTGGACTTTTCAGCATCGTACTATCAGCGTTTCATCATCATACCTTCGCCTTTTTACCATCATAAGCTCGAGTTTTCATTGTTTCGAGTTATATGTTTGTCGAGATGGCCGTAATGGAAATCCGTACACAAATTCCACTTATTAAAAAGAAAAATAGATTATAACTTGACATATTTTAACATTTTAACTATCCTGTTATATATAATGTTTTGATATGCAATTAACTCAGATATATTAAAATTTCATATATCAGGTTATATGTTGTTTTATCTTATTACAGAAGAAGAAATGGCTACAACGCCTACAACAACAACTTCAACAACAACAACAACAACAACAACAACAACAACGGGGGCATCGACAACGCCTCTTCCGGTATGTTACAACTACATAACCTGCTCAATTTGTGTAATTTAATTGCTTTGCTTTAAAGTAAGGACAATGTCATTTCAATTTAAAGGATGTTAATAACAAATCATATGGTATGCAAGCCGCAATACAGCCTGGTCAGACTACGTTCTCAATGCCAGAATCAATTTATCATGGTTACCAAGTTAATGTTTATTGCCCACAATTGTAATTCAGGAAAGTATCATCGCAAAAGCTACACAAAAGTTTATTACTTGTTTTAATTTGACTTTAAAATGCTCTAGACTCACGTAATGTATTGATCTAATCATACATTTTTTTCAAGAAATAATAACTTAAATGTAGATCAGTGGACAAAACTATGTAGAAATCTAGAAAAAATGGTCATAGATGTTTGTTCTTCCGTACCTGAGTTTTTTTGCATAAATCCGCAAATCACTAATTCAGTAAGTATTGTCGTGAAAACTTGCACCTTTTCCATGCGTCTCTTCATTAACTTTTTGAATAGTACATCTCTATCTGTCAGTTTTAGCTCCACTAAGTGCAGCAATTATCATGACCCTCTCGTCGGCGTTCGATTACCTTTTCGTTAATGTCCGTTTTTTAGAAACGATTAAAGCTATTTCACTTCAAACTTGGTATACATGTTTTTTGTCATAAAAAGACGCCATTTTAAAAGGGCAGATAATCCGAAAATTATTTTTTACACAGTTATATACCCTTTGCGACTTAAACTCTAAGCCTTGGTCAACTTTTCTGTTTAAAGTTCATTTTACAAATAACTATCAAATCGATTCACTTCAAACTGGATATGTAGATACGCACTATCAAAATATTACACCAGATGTTCCTTTTTGCAAAGTAATGCTCCTTTTTGATAAAACTGTCAAAATTGAACTGTTTAAACTTAAATATATTTTTTAGTTTTTCAATTGGAATGCACTTTTAAAGGGTAGATAACTTTTTTACTTTATTCAGTTACTTTATTGCTTTGAATTTTGATTTTCTTGGTCAAAAGTTTTGTCAAGGAACATTTCTCAAATACACTGAACCGAATTTCTGAACGTCTACCTTATATTTTACAGAATTTAAAAAAGAATAGATTTGGCTTAATATTTTTATTCCATGAGATGATAGAATTTATTCCAAATATCAAATGAAAATTTCATCAGACATAAAGATATGTTTTAACCAGAGACATCTAAAGAAATTAAACAACCGTGAGAGCGAGAAATAACATTGTCTTTCATCAGATTTAGCTCGACATTCAATAGGTTGTGTGTCCTCCGACAGCGGCAATAATGGAACGAAACCTTGACATCATGGATATAATAAATCTGTGAAGATACTGCTGGGGCATTGCAGCCCGTACCTAGATAACATCCTCAGTTAGGTCGGCAATATTTAACTGTTGTGTCCGGCCTCTTACTTGTCTCTTTAGAAGATCCCAAATACTTCCGATAGGATTTAAATCAGGACTTCTTGCAGGCCATTGGAGAGTCCTTACGTTATTGCCATGGTACCTCTAGAAACGTGACAGAATGCATTATCCTGGGCTTAAATCATTCCACGATTTTCGCGAACACCAGGAATAAGAATAAGAATTAACTGACGTACCTGTCGGATAGATAAACCAGCTTGTAGCATACCAATGGCCCGTCCACGGTCTTGAACATTCATCCTAGCCATATTGTATGATTTTTTTAGTTAGGAAATGTATATGGATCAATTTTATAT